CCATTATGTTGTAATGCTGACCCCTCTGACTATATTTGCGTGTGTGCATAAACTGACATGGCTGATTCAGTGTGATACATGACTGATGTGGTAATGAACTCGGCGTTTTTCCCAGCACAACAGCGGAGAGCTTAACCAATCACAATGAGGCAGAGCTGCAGAGACGGTGTCAGGAGAGACAGCAGGAAATCGACCACATGCAGCAAGTGCTTGAGACCAAGATTCAGCTCCTGCAGGAGGTCCGTCCACTCACACCTTCAGCTAGTTGAAACTGAAGCGCAGGTGCCTCAGATTTACAACTCAAAACTGTTTCTATATGTGTGTATTTCCAGGAGGCCCAGCTAGCACGCAGCGAGGCTGAGCGGATGGCCTCACTGGCTGGATCGCACTCCCACGCCTCCCTCCTCTCCCTAGACACCCCCATGGAGGATATCCCAGAAGACGAGAGGCCTCTGAGCATCCTGTCCGCTTCCAACACCAACAAAGACAGGTACACAACATAAGAAATCTCCTCGACCACCACCTGTACCCAACAAACCAAATCCACCACCCTGACTAACTTATAATATCTCTGTCTGTGTACAGGTTAATAGAAGAGCTGGCTAAAGAGCTTCGCTCCAAGGAGGCCCTCATCACCGAGCTGAGTGGGGAGAAGACGACTCTCACACTCAGGGTGGGAGAGCTGGAGGGACAGGTTCAGGAGCTGTCTTCATCTCTGCTGCAGAAGGACAAGGATGTGGAGGTATATACACGTTTGTTCCCATTTTAAATGACACCTTACATCTAAACTCTTACCTAAGTCTTAGCAAATGGATGCCCAAACTTTGCCACATTCTTTCTCTAACAAGAGTGTTGGAACCATTCAGCAAATGCGTTTTCATCAGCTAGTTATTCCTTGTAATATTGCTGTATTCCTCTACTGGTCAGACCTCTCTTCTGGAAAGAGGTTTCCGAAGCAGCATATGTGACATTCCTAAACCTAATTTTAACAGCCATTCATGAAGGTCACAAGGCACAAACTAGTACTTAAACAAACACACAGTGTAGGTCGACATGTATGCATGATGTCATCCAAAGAAAACAATAATTTGATATTTCTGTTAAGGTCCATCTGTTCACTTTCTTGTGTCTGTGTTTTTTACTCCCATCATAAATCTTGAAATTGTATTTAATTTTTTTTTTAGTAGTACATACAGTAGGGTTATAGTCTGTCTTCTTTATTATAGTATTATCAGGAGGAACTTGGTCAAGAGAGGCTGCGCATCGAGGAGGAGATGCAGGTATGTGGAACTCCGTATTTTTATGTATGTAAGAAAGACTAAGGCATAGTTAACAAATTTGGTTCAATAGCCTTCACATGTTATTATAGAGTTCTCCACTAAGTGTCAGAACAGCATCACATTTCTCTTTGTATAATGTCAGACAGACTGCGTCCTTAATGGAGAAGGGACAGGTAGCATTTTCACATGAGCTGAAAACTGTAGATAAAACATGACACATATTAGATCATTTGAAGAATACTAGTTGATTTACAGAGCATACCTACAGTATTTAAAATAGAGGAAGATTTTGCAATATAACCTGTACATCTTCATTCACTGTTATGGAAGAGGTTGTTGTACAGAACTAAAAAACTGTATCAAAGTTTTGACCCATTTTTTTTCTCATTTTGCCACTGAAAAAAGCAGAATGTTGTGTGCAGAAATCATCATCATAGAATCAATACAACTGCTTACTTGATGTAATACAAGAACAGAAGCACCATTGTGCTGTAGCTGAAGGAACTAACTGTTGCCAATGTCAGGGCAAAACGTAAGTAAACACCCAGTGAAACATCCTGTGGTGAGCTCAAGCTTTGTGCAGTCTGACCCGGATGTTTCATGAGTTGTCGATAGTGGCTTATTCCAGGCTGATTGGCCAACGATACAAATATGTGTTGATGAACTCTCCTCTAAAGCGAACAGAGGCAAGGAACACAACAAAAAGAAAGCACTTATTCCTTTAATGCTGCAATGGATGGATTATCATGTGAGGCTTCCAGTGAAAGTACACACCATCTTACAGGGTTAATCTCATCACACAAAGTGCCAGAATGTCATTACATTTACAGGCTTTAGCTGCACTGACATCCCCAAGGACACATTTCTCTCCTGATATATAATTAAACCACAAATGGCGGGAGTGCGGCATTACCTTGATGACAGCTCCCTCTACCCAGGAGAATCTTTACCATTTGAAGTTCAATTTGTAGTCCTACAAATGAATAATCAAAACTATAGTTAGCTGTATTATTCATCTTGTTTTGTCTTGTGGTGCTGTGCAGTGTTACTTCTTGTTATTTGACTGTAGCCTGAATGCGTCACAATATTTGTTGCAAACATATTTAGTTGTTTGGAGACTTTCCCATGCACATCTCTTTGTTTTCAAGGCGCATGTGCAGGTGTTTTAACTTGTAAATCACTTGTGGATGAAGAATGCAAATGTAGTCTGCTCAGATTTCACACTGTATGCCTGTGTGCATAAAAGTGTGTAAGCTGAGAACTATGTTCAATGATGGATAACTACACTTTATGTGCAAAACATTTAGTCACTAACAGAACAGTGGACTGGGATCTTAGTATGACAAGTATAACTTACATATAGTGCAATTTCTGCAGGTAAGAAACACTATTGCAGGTAAAATATGGCTAAACCAGAAATGGTTTGGCATATTATTTAGTTTTAATGTGTGTGTGTATACATTCCCTTGAGGTGCCTTCTTTCATATGTGCTTGTGTGCAATGCAGGCATCTCGCTGGTTAGCAGTTTGGTGGGTCTGGTTCCAGCCGGGTGGTCGATAGGTCAGGTTGACCTTTGAGTGCTCAGCGACCCCAGCGCTGATATCAAGTTGTGTTGTTTCAGACAGACAACCGCCAAAAGAGCTCTTAATTAGTTCCCCAGACACCACAGCCATTTAGATCAAATCTTTGTTGGGAGAGAGAGGTGGAGGCAGGAAAGAAATATGATCCAAAACCTCTTCACACAATTATTTGCAGAGTTTCCTTTTCAAGAATAATTTGTAATCTGTAAACAACTACATTGTTTATGTGTTTTGACATCGGTTTGTCTTTGTGAATATTACATTTCACAAAAATTGCTGATCAAAAAGAAGAAATACCATATGTCCAGACTCATTTTTCAGCTGCATCCCACATGTGTTGTTGGTTGTCTGCGGCCTCCTTAAGGCGAAGTCTAATAAACATCTGATTAGTTGAAAATGACTCTCAAATGATTATTAACCCTCAAATAATCAGACATCAAGGACCTTGATGCATGGACCATAATGCAGACACGAGGATAAACAGGATATGCTCTCTGTCCTGAAGCAATAGAATTGCTTTAAGGATGAAAGTATACCGACGGTCGACAGTGGATTTTAAGTTGCATATCTGCTTGAAAGTCACAGTGTGACAGCATGACCATCTGTTTGTGTGCCCTCGGGAAAACAAAAATTGTAGTCACTGCGGAGATGAACTTGCATAGTCAAATGCATGAGAACAGCCAGGTTGTTTGAACATCACAGTAAAATCATTGTTGAAATATCTGCACCACAGCAACAGGGAATACAATTAATACTGTCCTTGAGGCAATAGCATGTTTTGACACAGGGTACACTGGTCTAATGAGGGCGCAATTAAAGGACCAAAACCACCACACCAGTATGATTACACTACAGTATTTAATATGTTCAGTAATATGATAGCAAGTCAACTCACTGATCAACAACTATGATTATCAAAACAACAATGCGCCAGTATGATAGTGACCTCTATTCAAAGTTTATCTATGTAACCTTGGGCAAACTTGCACTGCATGCAGCCATCTTCTACAGCTGTACATATGTGTTGTCTTGGTAACTGGTTTTATTGCTCACTGATCCTCATCCTTCTTTCTTTCTCACTGCAGAGCCTCTCACCTAAAGTACTAATAATGGTGACCCGGCCTGGATACATTATTAGATATTGAATAAAACATTAAAATGATTAATCTCAGTGGTCTGTTATGTAGTTTAGAACTATACATAGTAGTCTAATGAACTTAACTTACATGCAACATCCCCTGTATAATCTTTGATTTTATTATGGCAGAAATACAAATTAGGCAATGTTTTATACTAACAAATGATACAGTTATACTCACAAACGTTCAAAGGACAGTTTAAAGTAAAATACTGCAAAGTCGAAACACCCTTGGGCAATGAGTGTGTGTGTGTGTGTGTGTGTGTGTGTGTGTGTGTGTGTGTGTGTGTGTGTGTGTGTGTGTTTGATACACAGAGAGAGACTGTAGCAGAATTTCTACTGAAGATCTGATATATGACACCATTTGATCTTCTTTATAATAGAATGGGATATTAGAAAAAATAGAATATCGTCACAGATAGTAGGCTACTTCTGTAAAGTGCATATAGTGTAATAACATGTAAACAAAATAATCTTATATTGTAATATAAGATATATGGTCATAAGAAAGATTATAATCTACATATACTTGCATTGTAAACCTTACGTTTACCATGCTGTGGCAATACTGTCATGCCAAAAAAATAGAATTTGGAAAAAATAAAATGGAATAGAATCTGTCTCGCTGTCAATTTTATGCGATTTTACAGAGCGTCACTAATGTTGCATGCTACTGAGCATTTCACCTGTTTAGTCAGGCGAACAGAGCTTAGTAAACCGGCCAGGAGGAAGTAACAGACTCCCAGGGGAAGACGACTCTGTCTCTTTACCAATAAACCCAAAATAAAGCTGATATTCTCTGTGTTTACATAATGTTCTTGTGTTTTATAGTAAAAACTGTCGTTTTGAATCGGAATCATGGTGGATGTTAAACCGTGAGCCTCCCTGTAAGACTGCACCGTGCTTCTCCACCCCCTGTTGTATTCTATAATGGTGCGCTCCGCCGCTGCAGGTCTGATTCAGGCAGCCAAATCATTATCAGCCCGGAGGATCTCCGACCGCACGAAGAACGTACACCGGTGAGCGCGTGTCTATATCTGGCTGTCGGTGAAGGCTCTGAAATGAACCACGAGTCCCTTCTTCGGACACAGACACCGGGGAGATACTCAGAGGACAGTCCCGGGACGCCTGTCACGGCTCTGTGTCCGTGGAAAGGGTAGCCAATTATTACCGACCCCCGGATATGAAATAGCCTACCTGACGGCGCGTGGTGCGGCTCTTCTGTCCGTGACAGCCGATGGTGCAGAGGCGCTGTTGGGAAATGCTAAACAGCGGCTTGATGACAGCGCGAGGACGACATACAGATAAAGACTACATCTGATTGATGATGTATTAACATGACTTTGCTGGGAGTCTGTGGGAGTGTGCGCCATATTCCCGATGCACCTGCACCTCCAGCAAATGAATGTTGATCCTCGGCTGATGGATCGGCTGTCTTTTAATAATGCTTAATAATTATCTATTAATCTATTTTTACCTCGTGGGTAAAGAACCACACCTGCAACCGTTCTCTACAAGTATGGGCTTCTCCTTGTGATCTATTTATTTTGAAGCCATTTAGTTTAATGCCACTGATGTCATGAAGCTGTCCACTATTGCAGATGAAAAAGGCCTTTATGTGCTCTGAAGGCATGTGTTTACTCTGATGCAGCTTGCAGCTTTGTGTTTACATGGGCTCAAGTTCACCATCAATGATTCAGGTGTCCTCGTGTTAGAGTAAATAGAATATTCTGCCACTCCTTCATAATTGCAAACCTGTGGAATGCTTGATCTCAAGATGAAGGAGACGTGTCGTATCTGTGGACGGGAGCTCTGTGGTAACCAGCGCCGATGGATCTTCCACCCCACCGCCAAGCTCAACCTGCAGGTGCTGCTGTCTCACGCTCTCGGGCGAGAGCTGGCCCGGGATGGCAGAGGAGAGTTTGCCTGCTCCAAGTGCACCTTCATGCTGGACCGCATGTACCGCTTCGACACAGTGATCGCCCGTGTGGAGGCCCTGTCCATCGAAAGGTTGCAGCGGCTCCTGCAGGAGAAACATCGGCTGAGGCAGTGCATCGGTGGGCTCTACCGGAAGACTAATTCAGAGGAGGGTGCTGTAACATTAACTGAAGGTGATGAAAGACCAGGAGATGGGATGGTGGACATTTCAGGTCTCACTCATGCAAAGTACTGTGCCCTCCTTCAAGACGACCTGGTCTACTCTTTGTATGAATCCTGGGCCGACGACAGCCTGTACTGTCACCACCAGGGTCCAGGGTCAGAGGTTACAGTTGCAGGCTCACATCGTTGTGTTCCCAGCACTCCCAGGAGGTGTCGGGGTTGTTCGTACTGGCGGGTGGCGGATTCTGACTATGAAGCTGTCTGTAAGGTGCCCAGGAAACTGGCACGGAGTATTTCCTGTGGTCCATCAACAAGATATTCAGCCAGTGGTATTGCAGGGAGTGTGACTGGAGGAGTAGGAGTTGGTGGAGAAGGAGCAGGAGAAAGACAAAATGTGGAGGACACAGAAGAAGCCCCCTCCTCTCTAACTCTGGTCCCTGGTTCTCAGGAGCCCTCGAAGACATCAGACAGCGATCGCACCCTGGCTGGACGAGCTAGCTCCAGCCCCTCTATAGCGTCCTTAGAGACAACCGAGGACTATATTCAGCCTGGAGCCATAACAGATGGGCCACTGAGCTCCCCCAGGGAACCAATAGATGACCGGATATCTGACTCCCTCTCTGAGGAGCACATGGGAGCCCCACATGGCCAAGCCTCACCTAGACCCAGCCTCTCTCTGTCCCTCTGTTTGCTGCAGAGCTATACTGTCTACCGGCCAGTCCAAAGCGCTAAGGGGAGCAAGCTGCCAGTGCTGCTCCGACGGAGCTCCAGTAATGGAGGTACGAGGCAGGGTTTCCCTTATCCTGTTCTGGGAATGTCTTTTGGAACTCCAGATGGAGAAAGAGACAACCACATGCCAACACCTGAGCTGGAGACCCCTCTGATCAGGCTGGATGCCAGGGTTGATCAGGATCTGAACCTGGCTGCCATGGAAGATTTAATGGAAGATTTGTACAAAGAGTATCCTCCGCCACCTCCCCACCAGGTATAAAACGATGAGGGAGATGAATTCAAGGATCTGACTGTTGCAGGATGATGACACTGAGCTGAGCACTGAATTTTGCCTATGCTCTGCAAATGTACAGTATCTGCTGCCCTGGGTGAACCAACCCAACAGGCTTTGATGTTTGACTGACAAACAGTGCAGCCTATCCACAAATCAATTATTCTCACCACTTTTTTAGCGTAATTAACCTCATAATCTAGCTGTCAGTCACTTAAATCCTTCTTCTCCAGCAAGCTTTTACCCAGGAGGATGTGAGCTGTTGGGCCGTTGTGCGCGCGTGTGCGTGCTTAGTTGTCTATGTTACATGAGCAATCATGTGTGGGTAGTCTGTGACACACATGTCCTAATGTGTGTGACCATGTGCATGTACAAAGATGTTATTAGCCACGTCAATAAAACAGAGAGCAGCATATACAAGCATCTTTGACAATTTAGTGAGTGTAAATATCTAAAGATTTATGTAATAATTGCTTATATAATTGAATGGTTTTGAATTCAATTTAATTAAGAAGCTGAGGATCTACAGTGACTTCCGTCATAGCCGCTAAATGCTAAGTATGAACACAGCCTGCAGATAAATTAGAGTCTCACAGTTTCCCCTTATAACTTAGTGTGTTGTAGCACAGGGTTTCTGCTCAAGTATGCAAGGACAAGTGTGAATCTGTATTTTTGTTTACGCACAATATAGAAAATCAGTCTTCTTCAAGATAATAGCGATAATAAGATAATGAGCCTCTGCAACAGTTTAGGGTGTGTGTTTGTCTCTGAATTAGATGCTCTTCCTTAATAAGATGATCTTCAAGCCGGGGCTGCTGACTTAAGTAGGTTATATGTGGGGAGTGACTCCACTACTGGCCTATTTTCACCAGAGCCCTTGAGGCAAAGTGATCCACGCAATGTCAGACCACACTGTCATCTCAACAGTGGTTGGCTAGTACAATAAGCCTATTTTAATGATATGTTAACTTAATCATTTCTATTAAAAAAATACAGTAAAAATCTAAATGTATTTAATTGAATCTCAGCTACATTATACCTCAAACTAATCTTGGTGCATGAATGTAGAAGTGACATCCTTCCTCTAGTAAGCGAATGTTGGAAGCATTCACACACTGTTTATGTAAAGATAATAGTGGCACATTCTGAGCACGCTCACTCATGCAAACTCATGCATACACTCTCAAACCACGAGGCTCTGTCGCCATCATAGCTTTTTACAAAGCATGCACATGAGTGAGCACAGTTTCGAAAAGTTGCACCCATATTACACAATCCACTGTGAAAGTTCTGCAGCCTCTGTATTTTTCATGAATTTGAAACAAACAAAACATCTTCCTCACAAATAATTCAGCTGCAGGAGTTGATTAGAAGAGTAAGCAAGTTAACATATGTAGTCAGTGTTTTTTTAAATAACTCAAACTCTTGACGTCTTACTTTATTCTCTTCATCACAGAGCCTTGTTGAGGAACAGCAGAGTCAACTGAACCAGTATGAGTGTGCGGCTGGTCAGTGTGTCAACGAGCTGCAGAAGGCCCAGCTCCAGGTCCAGTCCCTGCAGGCCAAGATCCACGAGAGTGAAGCCAACAATATGGTATGGCACATTTAGAACGCCTCATTGAGGTTGGATATGTTTGATAAATCCATGTCTGAGGACTGATGAGTGATACTGATCTCCATCTGTAGAAGCTGCAGGAGAAGCTGAATGAGATGGGGTGTGAGCTGCGTTCAATCCGTCAGGCTGCTCAGAGTCAGGAAAGAACCATTCAGGGTCTCACAGAGACCATCACCACCAAAGACAGTGAGGTTAGTGTCTTCGTAGTAGATGAATAGATGTCAACCAGTGCGAGATGATTCCTGTATTTGAGAAGGTGCTCATACCCAAGATTTATTGTGCTTAAAGGCCCAGGAGCTGTACCAGCTGATTGAAGGGCAGAACACCACACTGTGTAAGCTGAGAGAAATAGCCCACCGCAACCAGCTTGATCAACGCAAGGTGAGACCTGGTGCAGATATTGCGGTGCAAACCCTCATCCAGGATCATTCCTTATTGACGGTGAGAAATCTTGTCTCTGGGGCTGATGGCATGCTGAACTTGGTCTATGGTTGTTCTTTCTCCAGGCTCCAGAGGGGGTCAGTGAGTCCGTGACACTCGCCCAGCTGCAGGGCGAGCTGGTGGGTGTGCAGAGCTCCCTGTTCTCCCTTGGTCTGGAGCTTGAGGCCAGCCAGAGGAGTCTGAGACAGAGCCAGAGGCAAGGAGATGACCTGGTGAGATTCAAGGACAGACTCAACTCTGATCTACAGGAGGTACTGCAGCACAGGGAGGTTACTGAAAAACACAACCAGGTTAGTGTGTTTGTGAACGCATGAGCAGACCAAGCATTTGAAAGAAGTCTTGAAGTGATGCCGCATTTGTAACCTATTGCGTCCGTGCTGCAGGACCTGCGGTGTGCCCTTAAGAAAACTCGCTCTGAGCTTCAGACCAAAGAAGCTGCTCTGAAGGAGAGTGAAGCAGAGAGACACAATGTGGTGCAGGAAAAAGACAGAACCATTGCACAGCTCCAGTGTTCTCTGCAGGACAAAGAGCGACAGTTACAGGTAACACACACAATCACGCACACTTTCAATTCATACAGTATGTAGTCATGTAGATACACACAATTCTAATCTGGTCTAAAAATCATTATATCTGTAGGAGTACTCGGAGATGTTGGAGTCAGCAGGAAGCTCCAAACCTAGAGATGCCCTGCTGGAGAAACTAAAAGAGCGTATCAAAGATAGAGACAGAGCTCTGGAGGTAAACACACACACACACACACACACACACACACACACACACACACACACACACACACACACACACACACACACACACACACACACACACACACACACACACACACACACACACACCAGGGACAAAAATGAATGACAGCTTGGCAGAAATAGTGAGAGGATCCCAAAATGCTTTTGATACTACGGACTACCCTTCTCAACTAGTGTTATATACCAGGGGTCGGCAAAAAAGTCTGGCATCAGGCCAAAATCTTTTTCAACCCGTTACATTGTGGTCCAGAACAAAGTAAATTTATTTCCAATCATTGCATAGGCTACTCGTGTGCACTATTCGCTCAGTCGGTACAGTGCGGGACTCCCGTTAGGAAGGTTGTAAGATCGATTCCAACTAACTGCGGGTATTTTTTTCTCCCTTGTTTAAACAAATTGATTATAAGGACACTTTTGCACACAATAAAGCATGTGTTTCAGTGTGTGTGCACATCCCAGCATTTAATCCGCATTCATAAACCTATGGACGCTTATTTTCATTTCACTGAGGAAATTCAGGGGAATCCAATCACACATTTACTGACTGATTTTTCAGAGGTGTGTCAAGAAAGCCAGAGTCTCTTTTGAATGTCCTTCAGAACTCTTCAAAGTAAAAGCTCTCAAACTCTACATAAAGCATTGCTGCAAAAAAATGTTCTTGTGCTTTTATTTTGGAGGCACAATCACTTTAGAAGAAGTCAATGTGTGAATAACTGTAGCTGTTATGACTGAGATCTATTTCAGCACCAGCCAGTATCAATTTATTTATTTATTTTTTTTTCTGCTATCAAAGCAATCTGGCGCCTATTGCCAACCACTGCCATATACTGTGGGGCATGCGGCAGTTTTTCCTGTACGCTCAGTGCAGGGGAAATGGAGTGGCTTTTCATCAGAGCTTAGTATGCATCTCACAGCAGTCGAAAGTGCCAGTGGTAGGCAGTATGATAAAACTCCTGCTTAACTAGTCAGCATAAAATTTCAAAACAAGTTTATTAAGAAAGCTGGGGAGGAAAAAGACCATTACTATCTTATTTTAATTCCTGTCGCAACCATACAGCAGAGAGAAAGAAGTGCCTAGTTGCCATTATGAACTGATGTTTGGTTTTATGATAAACTTTAGCATAAAAAAGGTCTAAATTGTCCTAAAAAAATTAGTTCGTATGAAACAGGATGTTTGAATACTACACATCTCCTCATTTTTGCTGAGCAGTGTATAAGACATGATGAATATCAGTGTGAGGATGAATATCACAGTCAAGGATACCTTGAATGTGATTTATTTTCGTCTCCCCCTCTGCTGTCTGCAGCGCTCCATCGATGACAAGTTCCGCTGTGTGGAGGAGCGCGAAGACCAGGTGAGGAGGCTGCAGCTGGCAGTCAGGGAGAAGGAACGAGACCTGGAGAGACTCCGCTGCATCCTGTCGAACAACGAGGAGACCATCACGGTATGTGTAAATGTACATTAGGGTAAAAAGGAGTTGGTTGCAGGCTATCCTTGTAAAAGTAGCTTTTTACAATCAAAACATTGGCCTCCCAGGTTATTATTTATGTGATTAAAAAAAAATTAATATGCATTTCTTTTCTTCCTCCATAATGTATTACAGTGTTTAAACATTTTCAAACAAGCTAAACACACCCTGATTTGAGTGGCAGTTGGCAGAGTTTGTGTATCTTCGTGAACATTTCAGACATATATGAGGTATTATATTTTTCTTTTTGTGTGGTTACACCTCTGAATGTGATCAGCAGAGTCTGGACGCCTTGGTGCGTGGTAAAGAGCTGGAGCTAGAGCAGGCGGCAGAGGCCTACAGGAACCTCCAGTGGCTGAAGCAGCAGAACGAAGAGAAGGAGAGAAACACGCTAAGAGAGAGAGACACCATCATCAGCCAGCTTCAGGCAGCTCTACAGGCACGTAGCCAGGAAACGCAGGTAACAAACACACACACAAACATTCATTTATGTCTTTCGTTGTTGTGGTTCCTAATTGACTGCTGGGTAATTTTCAAAGCTTCGGAAAACCAGCCCATGTAGACAAACCTGTGCTACTTGTTTTCCCTTTCACAAATACAACTGGTGTGCTGACGTAGCCTTTTCTGTGTGTGTGTGTGTGTGTGTGTGTGTGTGTGTGTGTGTGTGTGCGTGCGTGCGTATACAGGATCTGACAGCTGCCCTCGTTGCCAGAGTTCAGGCTGGTCCCACCGAGGTTGTAGAGGAGTTGAAGGCTCGGCTCGTGCTGAAAGAAAGGCTCTTCCAGGAATTGCTGTCAGACCGCAGCCGCCAGTCTAATGAACACCAAGCACAGGTCCAGGACATGCTGAACACTCTCAGCTCCAAAGACCAGTATCTGCAGGTAGGCCATATACGATAAAGGTTATGGAAATACAACTTGATTTCCAGATTGTGCACAACATAAAGATGCTTAAAAAGCCTTTAACCTCTTCACTCTTTGTCTCTCAGGACTACTCTTACAGGCTCTCCCTTGTGATCAGTGAGCAGACCAGCCAGCTGCAGGAGCTGCGCAGACAGCTGTCATTAAGAGAGCAGGAGCTGTGCGAGCTGAAACGGGACAAGGAGAGAGAGATGGGAGGAGAGACGGAGCGTCTGCGGAGTCTGCTCACGGAGAAAGAGGACTTTATCAAGGTGCCTGTTTGTGCACTTGCTTTGGCTTTCTCCCTTGCTGTATGTCCTGTACGCCTGGTCTTCACAGTATGCTTTTATTCATTAGGAACTGATGCAGGCGCAGGAGGAGGAGGCAATGCAGCCATCCTCTAAAGACAGTGAAGCAGAGATGAGGGCTCTCCATGAGGAGTTGCAGCTGGTACTGAAGAAAGAGAGAGAGGCTCAGGTATCTGTCTGGACCCTGTGATGATGTAGAAACAATCCTTGTTTATTTTTACAACTTTAGTAACAGAGTTTATAAACCTACAGATTTTACAGTTTGTGTCCTCTCCCTGCAGAAGGAGCTCTCTGCTCTACGCTTATCTTTGGCTCACCAGCAGACCACGCAAGTGGACACTAAGGACAGTGCTGATCATAAAGTAGGATTTTGCTTCATTCTTAGCCAATTAGACAGTATTTGGCTGTTTGTACTGCTAAATAATTATGTATTTATTATGTACTGGCTTCCTCCTCAAACCTGCCTGCTGCTCTGATCTAGTGTGTACTGGAGCACCTTGTGTCAGAGTATAACAAGCTGAACGATGCCCTGAGAGTGGAGAAGAGATTATACCAAAATCTCAAGCACGTTCACACCAAGAGTGACAGGTAAGCAAGCTGCACCAAGGTCTTGTGACAGGCCAGTGTCCTGTGAATAAAATTTTCTTCTTTTGTTTTAAAAACACCTTTTCCTTTTCTTCAGCTCAGAGAAGATCCAGGCCCTTCACACTGAGCTAGACTCGGTTCAGGCACTCCGCAGACAGCTGGAGGAGGTCCTGGGCAGGACCCGTAACATGGCCCTGGTGCTGGAAAGGGCAGCTAAAAGGCAGCCTGTCTTTGGAGGTGGGGATGGGCAGGGTCCAGCCACCAGGGCTGCTGGGGGCACTGTCACTAACGCTCGGTGATGTTCTGTCTGACCACAGCGCTGTTGAGTGACACTGGCACTCTTTATGTGAGATGGAGCTGTCTGTAGCCACTGATGGTCAGTTTCATGAAAAAGATGGGGCCCCAAAGTGAATATTCTAAATCTCTGCTAAAATCAAGTTCTGACTGTCAGCCTTCAGGCAGCTTCATCCAGATAGCACAAGCACTACTCACAGTAGCAAAAGCCTGTTCAGATTAACCTCAACCTCTGAAGTGGAACCCAGAGTCTTATTTATTAATATATTTTGTGTGGTTGAATATGTTTTTATATTGTTTTTGAAAACTGCCTGCGTATTGCTTTGCTGTGCGATTGTTCTGTATTGCCATTTCTGTGTACTGTCTCTCACCGGTGTCACTTTTCCAGCCTTACCACAGTGAAGTTACGTCTTGTGGAGAAACTCCAACTCATGCCTTACAGTGAAACGTCTCACCATCCATCATTTTTTTACATCATCTGTTTGTGAACAGGATGTGCACACTTAACAAGGCCCAATGTTGAAAAAAGATCATGAAAGAAAAAAAAGATGGCCAAGTAGCTTCCTTCAGTTCAACCTAACCGTGGATCGCTGTCCGACACAGTTTTATAACGTAAACCTGCTCTGCACTAGTTTTAGTCTGACAGATATGCATGACACATAAGGTCAGTCACATCAGATATAAGATGGTAGGTGTGCGCTGATTACTTTAAAGTAACGTTATGGTAATTTAAGAATATGTATGTATTTTTAGTTTATCTGCTTGTTGAACTTGATTTCATCTTTGTAGCAAGAAAGCAGGAAATTATAATATCGAGTAATTTTACTGTCTGCACTGTGCTCTCTATAAATCACATGAGATGTGAATGCCAGAAATAATACTTGCCCATTAAATATTTATATTAGGTAGAGTACATTTTCCTGGAATTTGTGCCCTGATCTCTCATCTACCTTCAGAGATGGACTCCTTGTCAACACTTCTTTTTGTATTTTAAATGCAACAAAAATAAAAATGTGCTCGCTTTTTGTCAAAAGCACTTCTGTTTGTTGTGTATAATTGGGAATTTATCTTAAGAATATCCCAAACCTGAAATCCCTCCCTTGATATATACCTTCCTTCTTTCCGCAGAGATCAACCCACAGTGTGGTTTAGTTATCTGAACCATTCCTCAGAGTAGAAATACTGTCATCCCCAGCCTCCTCCTGTTTGCCCCCTAGTTCGTCCTACTTTGCAATTTTATAACCATAAGACCACACGTTATAAATGTGTTGAAATAGTATGACAAATTCAAATATGATAAAAATTTAAAAAATCTGAATTTGTTAACAGATTTCTGTACTAATTCAGTTTTAACATTTATATTAATACATACAAATGAAACTGTGTATTACCAGACATTTCCTTCATGTCCTCGCTCCCTCATGCATGATTGTGGCATGGTTTTCATGTTCGCATGGCTGTTCTGTTGTAATGCCCAGTTAGATATTCATAACACTAATATGCAAAGTTCACCAAGTAAGGGAAGCTCATGTGAACCTTTTTACTCTATCACTGATATTTAAACATTTTATATCAGAATAACATGAAATTCAACTAGTTTAAGTGACAAACACACTCAACAACATACACGGTGTCTACATGTTCCCATTATGAGATGGTGACAATATGTAGTGCAACAGTGTGTAAACAGGGCCCCACATTCAGTCAGGTCAGCTTACAGAGCACATTGTTCAATCAATAATAATCCAGCGGTTTCCCTCCATGAATTTCCTGCCCTGTCACTAGCAGCACAAAGGCAACTCTTAATTTTCATACTTGTTTTAGGGTGGAGACATCTGTAGTGGTAAACTGCCTTTGAACTTTCACTGATTATGAAGTAGTCCCATAATAAATCCCTATAATGCACTGAACAACTGTAGATAACCACTCATACACCCATGATTCACATTTAGCACTACACACTATATGTTATGTGTGTGTGTGTGTGTGTGTGTGTGTGTGTGTCATTAGGACCTAAAACAAATTTCCTTTGAAATTCCAGTCAGTGACTTTCCACTGAGCCTCTGCTTCCTGGCAACAAACAAATATCCATGTATGTGTTCCTTGTATGCTGCATACATATTGAGTTTTGGCACACAGCCACCACGAAACAACTATAAATGAGCCCAAGTTCCAGGTCTTCCCTCTCTTTCTCATGAACGCACACATACACCCTCTTATACTGGGTTGCAGTGTGCCACTGCCTTGAGTGTGTTTTTGGCTGGCTGCTGCCCCAGCGTATGACATAACATTTCCCCTTTAGTCCCATGACTTCCAAAGTGGTGATTCAGTGTTCTGGAAATAATGGGATAGAGAGTGGACGCTAGAGAGGGAGAGGCGTAAAAATGGCAAGAATAAGAAGAATAACAGGATAAAAGAATTAACAAAGGGAGAAAAAGCAAGTGGATATTGTCCTTACATAGTTGTTGTGTTTGCAGAGCTCAGCACAGAGGAGGAGGAGGAGGGAGACGATGAAGATGGCAGCAGTGACGAGTTCACGGACAGCATAGAGGAGGAGGATGATAAAGTGACGGCCAGAAGTTTGGCCTCCATTCAGGTAAAATACTTCCATTTAAATGTTGCATTTGTAACCACAGAGTTATGTATCTCTTACTGATTTAAATCTTGGAGAAAGCCCTTTATCTAATCACAGGATTCAAAAAGTAAGTACAATAACAAATATCATCATTTGTCTGACTTTATAGACTTCTGTGAAGGCTTGTGGACCTGAAAGTGTGACCAGAGCGCTGGTTAGGGGGTTAGTGACCCAGAGAGATGATGTAAAGCAGCTTGAGGAAGCAAAGAAGACACTTGAAGGCCAGCTTGAAGAAATAAGGTTACACCTGGAGAGGGATGGATTCACCTCCGTGGCTCACATGAGGTGCATATTTGTCTCAGCGATACTCAAGAAATTATTTTAGTTATTTAGTTCTTTTTTGTTTGTCTAAGAGGACGTCAATGCCTGTATGGAGTGAGAATTTCAACTGTTGTACTGCTGATGTTGCCTTCTGAGCTGTTGGAGAGGTTTGAACCCAACAGCATTGTTATGTGCAATGTCTATTTGACTTTACACCATCTTCTGCCAGGACTGCACTGCAGAGGTTGCAGCAGGAGAACCAGGCCCTGAAAGAAAGCCAAGGTTGCGCTGGAGCTGTGGGACTGAGGACAAACGCAGAGAAGAATCGCAGGGGTCTGCACCAGGAAGAGGAAAAGGAGGAGAAAGAGGAAGAAGAAGAAGAGGAGGAAGAAGATATTGAGGAAGAAGATGAAGTGGCGGAAACATCTCCAGTGCCAGTGGGGAAGCGGTGTCTTTCAAGTGTTAGTCTGAGTGACGAGCGAGGGAAGAGGCAGTGCACGAGGCCACGCTCTCTGACGCTGCATCAACACATACACCAGCCTGAGACGGTAAACATTTAAATCATCAATCATGTAGAGAAGTCTGCCCAGTCAGTAGAAAAGTGAATATAAAAAGCCTTAAATAGGTTTATAGTTGGGTTAATGTGTTATGCGTTTAGCCACTACATGGCCATTTTACTGTGAAAAACAGACACAGAAGTAATTTTATTTATACCTGAACACATCTGACACTGTCTTAAAGAGAATAAAATGACAAACAATTGAATACGTGTTGCTGGGAAAAGTGCTCAAATCATTTGTTTAAGTAAAAGTTCTACATACCAGTTGGATGTAAAAAAAAACAACAACCCATTAAAAGTTCTTAATTTCCTAATTAAAGACAGTTAAAAGGGTAAATGAAATATTACAAGTAAAAGTTCATTCTGAAGGTTATGCATCAAGGCCTTGACCTCCTTTTCTCCATGACTTCACCTCACTGGTGCCTCCATTTACAGTCTCCATGTATGGTTGTTTTGTTCTTTCAGTCCCGTGGTTGTTTATATGAGTAATGGAGTCCCTACTTTGCTGTTGCAGGAGGTGAAGCCTGCTGGGGACAGCAGTGAGGTGGGACCTCTCTGGCAGGATACAGAGGACCGTCTGCGCTCCGATCTGGCTCTGAGCCACCAGGAGAACAGAGAGCTGCAGGAAAGGCTGATGGTGTCTGAGGCCACAGTCCACGCTCAGGCTGAACAACTGAAGGACTACAGAGACCTGCTCAGTGAGTCCCTCCCAGGAACATGTATCAAGGAGTGCAGACATGCTATTAGATACATATGAGAACTAAAAAGTGTACCAAAACCATGATCAAACACTTATTTGATAACATTCAAGTCATTTCCTTCTCATGTCTCATGTGCAGCGGAGACATCGGTCCAGCAGGCCAGTAAGCAGGTGCAGGTGGATCTCCAGGATCTGGGTTATGAGACTTGTGGTCGCAGTGAGAACGAAGCTGAGAGAGAAGACGCCAGCAGCCCAGGTGACAAAAATGAGACCATGTTTATCTTAAACTATAATGTCCCATATTTTTTCCTCTCCTGTAAAAAGAACCACTCATTTATCCTCCATTAATATGTCTCTTCATCTCTCCCTCCCTCAGAGTTTGATGACCTGGAGATGTGCACGTCACTGTCCCATCAACAGGACTATGAGGGTGTGGGTGGGAGCTGGTACCCTGGTAACTGCAGCAGTAACAAAGGTAGTTATGAAATGGAGGATGAGTCATCTTCTCTCCAGCATCTGGTCCAGGACCTCCGCTCACAGCTTACCCGCTGCCACAAGGTGATCCGTGGGCTGCAGCTGCGTGTCCGCTCCCTGTCTACCACCAGCGACTACGCCTCCAGCCTGGAGCGTACCCCACGCAAGGTACTGTAACATTAACCAGCTACTCTACATTACTGACTGGTCTTTGAGGTTCATTTTAGTCTCATAATGATGCCCTTCTTAACGTATTTTTGTGCAATTTTATCTTCACCTTCTAGGTAAACTGGGCCTTCGAGACATCACCAGCCCCCAGCGGTGTGGAAGAGGATGAAGGCTGGATGTCTGACACCCAAGGGGTTCGCTCAGGGTCCAAGCCCAGCAGGGAACTGCAAGAACTGATGGCACGAGTTGCATCACTGGAGGCGCAACTGAAGAGCTCCAGACTGGACGGCAAAGGTCAAACAGAAGAAGAGAAATGTGCCACGTGGCCCGGGTGAGTGGACTGAGGCAACGGTAAAAGATAGAGGGGGAAGGGAGGCCTAGTAAGGGTTAGCTGTTATTCCTGGTGCCTCTATTGTCCCTGTACCCTAAAGCACTTTTATGTTATCTAGAATCAGTTAACAGATGCACATGAGAATGATTTGTCATATGACTTAAAGACACAGAAACATCTCTGTTAATACTGTGTTTCCTTGTCTCTCTCTGGCCATTGCTGTTCCTCCCTTTACAGGAAGTACAACTCTCTGATCCAGACACAGGCTCGTGAGCTGTCCCACCTGAGGCAGAGAATGAGAGAGGGGCAAGGAGTCTGCCATATCCTCACCCAGCACCTGGGCGATACCACCAAGGTACCGCAAACCCTTCTGATCTTATTCAATTATTCATTAAACCTCATTTGATAAATTTTCTACATATTAAATGAACCAGAGGAGTGTTGCCTTTTCTAAGTAGAAGTTCTTACATCTGCTCAAATTCTCAACAACCTACAGGCCTTTGAGGAGCTGCTGCGGGCCAACGATATCGATTACTACATGGGCCAGAGCTTTAGAGAGCAGTTGGCACAGAACACCGCCCTGGCACAAAGAGTAGTCACCAAGATCAGTGGACGTAAGAAAAATATTCTCATCTCTTCCATCACACAGAAAGACCATTTGTATTTTGCATTCTTGTGGTCTTGTTTTATGTCCAAATTATACTTTTTTACAATGCCTCCCCCCTCCTGTGCTCTGTCTTTGCTGTTTTAATTCCACAGGCGACCGTTCAGAGAGCCACAATGACAAGACAGGCCATGAGTTGCTTGCGCTGCGGTGAGTCAGCTTGATTATTTTCATGCGCGCGTGAGTGTGTGCATAACATGCAACATTTTTACCATGTCACAACTTAAAGTGGCAGCAAGGTAAGACAAGTCCATCCAGTAAGAGCTCAAATGAACATGGACCTCACTGTGTACATATATGCACCTTTATCACCTTTATTTATTTAAGACATTAGATGCGCATATGCACTGTAGCTGGCTGCTTGGGAATAAAGAGCCACGTGAGAGTAGCCATATACTGTTTAATAATTGCTCTCATAAAAATGATTAAATCTGACAAATCTTAAACTCCTCTATAATATCCACTCTATAATAACACCTGCAGCACTGAGATCTGTGGACCTTCCTTGAAGTTATTAGCTTACTTTGTAGAGCACTTACTCTGTCCAAGTGATTAGTTTACTGTGTCATGTGACACAGTGTGGCACGCGAGGACCCGTCCACATGGCTCCTTATGGTGGAGAGGAGACAGAAGGTTACTGTTAATCCATACACAGACCACAGCATGGATCCTTCACTCTTAGGTTGCTTTAGTTGAATGGATTTACAGGTGTAAGAGGCTCAGTGTGACTGCGTGACTGATTCTTTACTGGTGTTGCCTCATTCAGTCATACCCTGCTTAGTGGAATGTGTAGGATCTGTACAAAGTCAAAACAAATTTATGGATTTTTGATATTTTGACATATGCAACAGTGTCTACTCCTGCTGCTTACTAACTAGAATCAGAAGACACCAAAGAGTCTCCTCAGTATTTTTAGCTCAGCTCAGACAGTAGTGCATCAAGGACTTTGTATTTTCTGGACTGGACTAATGGTGTGATGGCTCCTCTGTGGAAATCTATGATTTCTAAGAACAGCACTATATACAGGGAATCTCTGTGGTCTTTTTCTACGGGTCGAGGCCAAGTAAGAGAGAGAGCCTTTTTAAGGATTCTGTTGGAGAGAGAACTGAAACAGTAAGAAATATGCACATAGTTACTTCACATAGGCATGTTTACTTCAGCTCCACTGTAAAAAAAAAAAAAAAGAAAAAAAGAAAAGAAGCTGAAACAAAGCAAGTACTTGTAAATGGTTGCAGATTGGTCCACCTACAGCAGATAGTTAGGTTGATGTCATCAAAAAGATTCATGAATTGGAATGACTGTCTTCATTACTAAGACTAGGATGTACTCAATTAATTTAAATATTGCAATATTGATGAAATGGTTAATTTATTTGTTTGAATAACAAAAATAGCAACTGGTTTTCCTCTTCCCCCTTTGCTGAACTTTCCACTGTTTTAGGGCTGCAACAATGATTATTTTCATCATCAATTAAACTTCTCATTGTCTCGATTCATTGTTTTGTCCATAAAACGTAAAAAAAACCCCAACTGCCCTGTATAGTTTCCCGCAGTCCAAGGTGACGTCTTCAAATGTCTTGTTTTGTCTGACCACTGGTCAACGTTCTGCCCGTAATTTTCAGTGATATGGATGTAATGGTGCCAGGCAACAGTGCCTACTAAATACACGCTTATTTTTCCATTAATAGCTATAAATTCAGAATGTAATGGTTGATTATCTTGTCTACACACATAGGCTGAGTAAGGAGCTACAGCAGAAAGATAAAATTATTGAGTCCCTCCACACCAAACTGCAACAGCGTCCAGAGACCCCGTCCAGCTGCCATGCTCTCTCTGAGACCACTGACCAATCAGACAGAACCTCCTTGGTGTCCGATGAGTACAGAACCAATGAAGACTTGGAGCTGTGCTCCGATTTAGATACCAGAGAATATCAGGAGGAGCACCGGCTGCGGCAGCCCGGACATGGATCAGGACAAGATGGTATTGTTGAAGTTTACTCATATGTTCACCTCCCCTGTCTGTGAAATGCCTCTTCTATCCTTTCACTTTCCATTCCCCTCCTTTAGTCTGTCCATCTATCCCTCCTCCTCATGGCCTCCTCAAGTCCTCCAGCAGCTGTCCCAACATGCTTTGCTCAGCCCCTGTGGGTATGACCAGCCAGTCCTTCAGAGGTATGGGACTCAGAGCTGGCTTTGACTTCTAAAGTACCCAAAAACCTCCTTCATATTCTGTACATGTCACTTCCTGTCATTCTCCTCCAGCCCTTTTCAGTGAGCCTGTCTCCTACTCCCTCTCTGTCCCCTCTGGCCCTGATGTCTGGGGTAAGGAAGTCACTTCTGACCCCCGGCCCAGGGCCCTGTCTGTGATCGCTATTCGCCCAGAGCTGGACACGCTGTACAAACAGATGAATGAGCAGAACAGGGGTGAGGGGCCGGTGGGCGGGCGGACATGCGTGAAAGCAATTTATAAAGTTTAACTTAAAGATATAACTTTCTTGAAATCTGTTTATAACTTCACTCTGTGTGTGTGTGTGTGTGTGTGTGTGCTTTGCAGTACCCCATGACAAGGCTCTGTTCACTCTCTCACCTGGTGCCCACAACCAGCACGACCCATCCAGCTACAGCCAGCTTTCCCATCATTGCCTTTCAACAGTATCAGCTAGGTGGCATTCCTGAAGGCCTCTCACTGAAGTCAGACTCCGGTCTAGTTACGGGAGGGACTTTGTGGGACATGGAGAGCATGGTTCAGCCGGTCGGAAGCTATTCTGGATCACTGGGACAACAGCAAGGAAGCAGCCATGGAGGTGTGATAAACTCAAAAGGCTGCCTTTCAACCTGCCTTCTTGTTGGCAAGATCATTACAATCTTATTGTTGTGCTGTTTTTCTTTAGGAGTAAATTTGATAGAGGAGCACCTGCAGGAGGTGAGGTTTCTCCGTCAGCGTCTCGAGGAGTCCATTAGGACCAACGAGAGGCTCCGACAGCAGCTGGAAGAGAGACTGGCCAAGAGTGGGCGGGATGGAGGTACTGCAGCCCTCACACACTTAAGTAACACCAACACTGCATCCACTCAACAAGCAATTTATTTATGTATACATAAATTGACTCCAGTTTTTTGTCCAGGGGCGCCAACAAACATCTTCATTCAAGGACTGGACACAGTCACTCAACTGTCCAATGAGATCAGAGCCCTGAAAGAAGAGAACTTGGGTCTGCAGTCACGCCTGCAAGCCAGCACAAGTACTTCATCTGAAAGCCAACTTAAGTTTAAATGATATTGATTTGATTTTTATATTTTTTTTGATTTGTCAACCCATCTGGACTCTCCTCTTCCCTCAGACACATGTGAGGAGGTGGTGCAGTTGCGGGAGGCGGTGTTTACGGCTCGCGCCCGTCTGAAACAAGCAGAGCTGGAGGCTGAGCAGTGGAAGGAGGAGCTGAGACGTCTTCAGGCTCACAGCCAGGAACAGGAACAGCAGATACATGTATTAAGGCAGGAGCGACTGGCCAGTCAGGAGAAAACCAACAGGTTGGTGTGTTTGCTTGAAGTGTGCGTATACAGTTTGAATCAAAGAGTGACAGATATCAAAATGTGCTTGTGTTTACATATCTGTTCTCTGACTGTAATGCACTGTAATGTATCCTCAGGCTCCAGCATGAGGTGTCTCTACTGCAGCAGCAGCTGTGTGAGAGCAGAGAGCTCAGCCACTCCCTGCAGAGTGAACTACAAGTGTATGATCGAGTGTGTTCCAGCACAAAATCTAACAAAGGTCTGTCTATTCATGGTACACACTCTATGTTTAATATACACCTCTTTTTAAATGAAAAACTGCGCCAAAGGTGCAAGATTCCCTATGAAACTACTTTGGCGCCATCTGGTGACAGTACATGTATTGCTCAAATTTTCCAAATGGTTGTTACATAATTCTACAAACAATTTATGGCATCAAAACAATCAACGGTTATGATATAATTACAATATTTTGACAATATAATCAAAGTTTTATTGTATTGTTGTGCTGGAATGAAATCCTCTGATCCTCAAAGTGTACTTAAGCAGTTGTCAGACTCTGCAGTGATGTGCATTCTGTCTTCAGGCTACCCTGTGTGAGCTCCCAGGTCTACCAGTAGAACTGGGGGAGCTACTCGGGGAGGTGAGGAGTCTGCGAGCCCAGCTGCAAAACAGTGTCCAGGAGAACAGTGCCCTCAAACAACTGGAGCTCCACAAGCAGCTGGAGCAGAAGCTGGGCGTCGGCTCTCCTCGGACACCATCCCTCTCCGCCCTGACTGCCAGCCCTCAGAGGGAAAACTTCTACAGACGGCAGCTGCTGCATGGTGAGACAGAGGCCTCAAGATGTAACACCAACATATTACTACACAAAATGTCTGAGAGGCTTAGTGTGCTGTGGTGTGGTTTGCTGTGTGTCCAAGCCTGGTTTGGTATCTGTGTGCTCCACAGACCCAGCTCCATCCCCGCCAGTCAGGGACATTGGTCTCTTTAACTGTGGATCTCCCGGTCCTCCCTACTCAGACATGGACGACAGCCATAGTACTGCCAATGGTGTGACTTAAACTGCACTGCATGCCTGTCTTTATTGTGGACTGACTGTAATGAGATTGCATTGGTCTGTAACAACAAATGTGCCAAAATATTGTTTTAATCAATTCCGAAAATTCTCTCTTGCAATACAAAAAATACAGTAATGTCACTCAGAGTCCTTCCAAAATACATTTTAGCTCTTTTATCCCCAGCTGACCCTCTTGACCCTCACTCTGAGTTGGAGGGGGAGGCCCCTGACGGATCATTTGCAAACCGTAACGGCCGTCACGCCATCGGTCACGTGGATGACTTCAGTGCTCTTCAGCAGCAAGTCCTAGAGGGCCGTAGCCTCGTCCAGCGCATGGAGGCAACCCTGCAGGCCTGCCTCAGCCCACCACTGCTGGAGGGCAACCAGAAACAGAGCAGTGAGCTGGTGAGAAATATTTTTATTTTACAAAACAATGATGACTATTCATTAACGTCATGACTGTAATGCACAAGTACCTAACTGAGCTCTGCATGCAGGTCCTGGACTATGGATGTGTGAAGAGTCTGCTGTCCAACACCAAGACTCTGAGGCAGATCCTAGAGGAGGCGATGTCTCTGCTGAAGATGTTCTGGAGAGCAGCTCTGCCCAGCAGTGATCCATCCATCCAAAACCTTAAGAAGGTTTGGGACACATTATGACATTTTATGACTGGTCCGATCTTTCGAAGTGTAAGGCTGGTGATATACTATGTTTGTGTTACTGACAGAAATTCCCATGAAAAGACTAAAACCAACAATGTATAGTTCTCTCAGTATGTTCCAACGTCCCCAGGATGTCTGTGGCACTCAGGTGACAAATATATAATTAAATTTTTTCAAACAAGGTTAAATAATTTCCTACAAAAAATTCACTATTCACTGTTTTATACATAAAACACCAGTGTGGCTCATTGTTTAAGGACGATAATGGAGTTCTATGAAAAAGAGGAATAAGTTATATTAGGCTACACAGAAAATACATGTTAGAAGAATCAGTTAATTGTGGGTTTTGGTCTTTAGAAGACAAGATACATATAGAATATCACCAGACTCATCCCTTAAAGAGCTATGCAACCCAAATATGGTAAGAAAGTAGAAAGCTGAGCTTTGATAACAAATGTCACTTTGTGTGTGTGTGTAGGAGCAATGTATGCAGGAGGAGATCTTATCCCTGAAACTGCGTATATCAGAGCAGGAAGAGGTTCTTAAGGGGACCATTCAAAGACTGAGGAGCACCAGCCGCACCAAGGAGAGCATGGAGCACTTCATAGTCAACCAGTGTAAGTGTTTCTGTGTATCTGTGTGTGAAAGAGAGATCATAATGAGAAAGACTCTGGGCCCTGTTTGAATGGTGCGAGCGACAAAGTGGTAGGTCTTGGTCTTGTTAGGGCGTCTCCCAGCGCACCTGCACCTGTTTTTTTATGTGCAACAGCACATAGTGCAAAAGGGCTGGGTGAAGATGATTCTGGTGATTATTAAAATGTTCATAAAAGTCAAATCACTGGTCTCATTGCTCTGAAACAGCTGAGCCAATCACAGTGAGGTATGACAACAACAACTCAACAAATGAAGAATCTGCTTCTTCAGGAAATCATAGTGTTGTCGGGATGGTGCAGAGCGAATCAGCAGCCAGAGGCAGATATGGGTTATTAACAATTAATTACTACAAAGATCAAACAAATTGTTTGGTGAAACTGTTTATATGATCACAACAATCTAACTCTATTTCACTCATAATTCAACTATATTTAACACTGGAAATGGCGGCGTTTGCTTCGCAATGCATTTCAAGAATAAAAAATGGTGTGGTTTAAAAAAAAATTAAGTAGGAAAGGAGGCTGTGACGCACAGGATTAATGAGCTCCAGTAATCTGCTGTGGCACGCATAAATGAGCACCAGCCTGGTGTCATTTGCATGTGATTTAATGAAGGTAAATACAGTGGACGGTTGTGCATAATGGCGCTGAGCTCTGGTTTGATGCTGCAGATTGATCAAATAAATATGTGTGCTGCTGCCTTCAGATGGCTGCAGGTTTTTCATGAACTGAAGGAGAAGCTTTTCAGTATAAAGTAGCTATAAGAATCACTCATATTAATTTATAGATAACTGCAGAATGCTATATCAGTGTTCCTGCTTAAACCACATTAAAAGTTCTGTTCTTGGACGTGCAGAGAAATTCCAGGTTGGAGCTTGGAAACAATAAACAAGGCGAGTTATTGTCCACAGGTCTGTAGTACACAGGCCTCTGCAGGTTTCACATAAAAATACAGGATTGCTCTTCGGGCAAAAAAATTAAAGGTGTTATTTTAACCTCTGTGACTTGCTTGGTATTTGCACATAAAGTATTGATATGGATGTATGATCTGTGTGTTCTTGTAGTTTAGTAATAACAACATAGAAATATCTTGTTTTTTCTTGTGTTTTGCAGTGTCAAGGACTCGTGATGTGCTGAAGAAAGCAAGGACAAATTTAGAGGTAAAAATAACTTCATATGGAGCCTCATCATACATAATGTGGATTATCTGTCTGTATACTTCATAGGTCACAGTATTATGTGTATCAGTATTGTATGTTGTGATTTCCTTTCCCTTTCTTTGGTATTTATGATGTAAATTCATCACTTCTGTCTCACTTTTTCCTTCATCCTGCATTTGTTTCTCCTCTCCTCCTTTAACCCCCCTCCAGAAGAATGAGCTGAGACTTTCCTCTCTAAGCTCCTCCTCTTCCTCTCCTTATGCTGGTAATCGTCTGACATGTCGTGATCTTGCAAATAGGTAGACGTTGTCCCAGACACTGTATCATGTATGACTGTTGCAGTTCATGCCTACTGGGTAATCTGTAGGTTTAAAAGTAAATGTGATGGTGACTCTGTGGTCTGGGGCAGCATCTACCTCCGTTTAGATTTGCTTTTTCTAACCACGCCGACGTCACTGCTTTACCATCACGTCTGACAGCAAAACCCATCCTTTTATTTTTAGCATTTTGTGAGTGAAAACATGGGAGATGATGGTGTTGAAGCTGTGCCAAAATCCTGGGTAAAAAACAAGCTGACCACACACAGAGCTGCATGAATGACTTTATTATTCCACTCTTGAGGTTTCTCAGTGTAGCTTAAGTGATAACTTGAGGTCGGAAAATTGATTTAATCAAGTATTTCATTGGACACTTGACTATGTGGTCACCTTGTTTTCGACATGGGACGCTACCATGACCTATGTATTTGGTGTGTATTCTTATAATCCCACTTCAACTACTATAATACAGTCTATAGGAAATAACTGTGTTTTTAGGTAAAGCTAAAAGTTCATGAGTTGTTCCTGAACCCACAGCATTGACACCAAATAGCATACACACACACCCATTCACTAACCGCCACTGCACTAAAGTGTTGTTTACTTCTACATGTCCCCTTTATTAAGGTTGAGTCTATTTATAGCTTCAGACCCCCCCACGGTTAGCGCCAAAATAAACACACACTGCATAGTTTCCATTCCGTGTGTATGCTGTCACAGTATTGCCAAAGGATATACACACAAAAACATGTGTGACAGTTTACTGCTGCCCTTCAGTCTTAGGATGGAGTTGTGTCAGTTGTGTGAGTAAGAGACAGAGGATCGGAGTGACAGCATTGCTTATTCTCGAATCACTCACTCTGCTTTTCATCGGCAAACAGTTGGTTTTCGGAATTTTATTACCACTAACATTACACACAGCAAACAACTTCTTGCCGTGCTGTTAGTTGTTTTTGAAGGAATAGTTTGACATTTTGGGAAATACGCATATTCTCTTCTCGCTTTTAAGCAAGAAAGCAAATAAGCATAAATACCAAAATGTTTAATTGTTCCTTAAACATTTCGACTCACAAGCAGTTTGTCAGTTTTATCAGCCTGTATAGGGAGTGTTGAACAGTAACTTACATCTTGTTTTCCTTTTCTCCTTTTGTCCCGAAATCCAGCTGAGGACCCAGGAGGTGCTGCCAGAGAGCAGCCTGCTGATCGCAGTTTCCTGAAGACCAGCGGTGTTTCCGGAGCTGCAGCCAATCAACGTCCAGCAGCGCGGAAGCGCAGCAGCCAATGCCTACTTTAGACTTAAAGAACCAGCCTCAACACCACCACCTCTGACCTCTATGCTGAAACAGCCAAGACCCGCCACCCCCACCTTCTATCTAGCCTTCCACACCAGCCTTTCCTATCCCACCCAACCTCCGCCTTTACCTCCGTCCAGCCACGAGAGTGCTTCCATCTTTCCCTCCTCCTGGCAATATGTGCACAGTATAATCTGCACCTTGAGCCTTACCAACCTCCCCTCACCCCCTCGCCAAATTTCCTGTCACTCTTTACGCCCTCCCACCACATGCATTATTGTCTTTGAGTGATGCAGTTAGCAGTTTGCCTTGTCGTGTGTGTGACAGTAGATGGTGTTTGAAATGTGCCTCTGGTGGTTTCAGTGACGTGTGTCCTACTGATGGAGCTGGTTGAAGATGCTCCTATACAGTGATCTCACACCAGGTGTATGTTTTCATGAAGGCACTTTGGTTTCAGGGGTTGTGTTACAGAACCTTTCAGAATTACTGTACCTGATTTAGAAATTTGGAAAAAGAATCTACAATGGAGAATTTTGTAATTTTGAAAAATCAAGCTTAAACTGAAAAAAATGGGAAAATTCTATAATACAGAACCCCAGATCTGTATTTAAGAGCATCCTCTCTTAAGAGCCAGACAGCCTGTGGACGGAATAGATGATCATGCATGTTTAATCGTGGCTTGTGAGAGGAATTTTGCACACACGTACACATACGTATAACTACATATGTGGTCGAAAACTGCTCACTCAAAGACAATACATCCTCAACTTTGACTGCCACAGAAATGCAAGTTTACTTCTCGTGGCACTTTTATTAACGAGGACATCTTTTTGCAAATGCAATGCAAAGAACAGTGACACCCATAATGTATCACTACACACAGTGGAGGAATGTAGAGGAGATAGGTAGTCACATACTAGCTATATCTGTGTTTGTGGAGGAAGCTTATGAATAGTATGTCCGCCATCAGCCAAGGGTTATGAACAGCAGAACAAAAGATAGAAAAAGGTTCCATTTTAGTCACAAGCCTCCTCTTTTAGGCCTTAACTGTGCTTTTTTGGCATCTACCTACAGAATTGGAAGTACTAAATAAGTAAAATGCAGGGGAGTAGGGTAAATTGAATGCTCGAGGCCTTGATCTTGTTTGTGATTTTTTAAGCAGGATGTAACTAGAATATGTAAAATAATAAAATAAAAAAGAGGTTGAAGTGCTCAAATGGAACCAGGCTAAACACACGTATTCAAGCTCCTCTGTAGGAGTTCTCATACGAGCATGTGCAATAATGATGTTGTTTCTTGAATGATCATGCTGCACCGGGTTATTTTTATTATTTCTATGCTTGACACTGGATTATTAGTCACACTTAAAGTTAGGACACAATCAGTGTTACGATTGTACTTGTTTCTGGAGTGTTGATGCATGACAGAGATTATAAATGGTGAAATGTAAGCTATGGAACAGGAATTGCCAATACTTGCCAAAGTTTGAACTTTGAACTCTTTACTTTGACTTGCCTTATCCATGCGAATGACAAACCCAGGTCTGCTCAGACCGCGGGGATACTGAGGTGTCTTTTTTTCAAAGGGCCTCCAGAACCATAGAGATGGTAACCGTTAGATAGCTAGTTCACTTTATTTCGAATTGTGTGACGGAAATGAGCTCCTTTTTTGGACCAAAACTCTACAGAGTGGATTTTTTCCCCACAAGGCCATATGCTATTGTCTTGATGTTATTTCTCTTGGTTCAGGCCATCTTAGCATTCCCATGGCAATGGCAATATAGGTTATCAAGTTCTTAAAGATAATGCAAACTTTGGCAGGCTACTGGTGGGATCATTGTTCTTTAATTCACTCACATATAACAGTTGAGCTTCATGTTTAATTTGATGTGTTTTCTTGCTGTACATTTGCCATTTTATGCTGTAAATAACCTGCTTTTTCTGTATGAAACTACTTTTGTTTGAGTGTGTTCGTGCATGTGTGTGTGTGTGTGAGAGAGAGAGAGTGTGTGAAAAAAACATCCAACATTTGCTTTTTGCAAAGTTGATTTTCTGGGTAGCTGTGCAATAGCTTTATATAAATCTTATTTTGATGTTAAACATCATTGTATTATGAGTATGTTTGCTGCATTCACTTGTATGTTAGAGGATTATGTCACTTTGAATCAATTAGTCAGGCAGTGTCTGATAAGAAATCTATGCCTTCATTATATCTAAGTCACAGATCACAATATCGTCCACCTATAACAAAGCTCTGATTATTGTTGCTTCGCTTGCCTTTAAATTTTGCTTGAGAGCTTCTTCAATCTGCTCTCAATGGTAGAAATGGCCTTGAACTAGCGCTTGTATTTCTGACATCTGCCAAATTAGGTTTTGTTTGCGCTCGAGCTCAGAAAAAGACAAAAGTTGCCAAGTATTTCAATAGAGGTAAAAAGTTTGATATGTCCTTTTAACACGAAAAAAGTTAAATGGAAACATTTTGAAGAATTGTCCACTGCAAAAAAAAAGCCCAAAAAAAGCCAGTGACTGGAAAGATTGACATGTTGGATCCTCAAAGCACCTTGTTAGAGCGTAAACAAAGCCTTTTTGCTATGTTATTAAGATGGAATGAAACAGCAGTTTGAAACAATGGTTTGGTGGTCCTGAGTTTCGTATGTATATAGTGCTATTTGATTGGTGCAGCTTTTATGTGATTGGAAAGCAGCTTTTTTTCTGAGTTTGTGCATAATGAACTAGAAAGCCGATGCAGGACTCATATGGATCCTGTCTCTGATGACAGTGTGCTGTGTTGGAAAAAGTACTATCAACGAAAGATTTGGGAAAGAATGAATAAAACACTTAAAAAGCTGGTGTGGTTTACTTTTGTTTCAAGCTTTATATTTAGATCCATGTTTGCTTTTGCCTGAGCTGTTGCTAGTGGATAACAGTTTGTATCGTGTTTCAAAAGAAAAGACAAAGACAGGTATTAGGACCGTGTCCTCTCTTTATTTGCAAACAAGCAAAACCTTGTAGTGACAGTCCATCATCACACTGGTTCTGCAAAGCACTTTAAAACATTCATGAAATGGTTGTAAAATTCAAGTTTTGGTTTGACACCTTTAAACATGTCCATGGCGCTTGTCTATACTCCCTTATCATATGTGTAAGTCCTAAAAACCCTTTGGACAAAACTTCGTGGCTAGGCTCGACATTTACAAAATACTTTCAGAGCGTCTGGTTGAACACCGACAGGATTTATGAAAGCTCCTTTTATAAATCCGTAGAGTGTATCAACTGTGGGTATACATTGTACTGTAAGTGCAGCTGATTAAACAGCGGGACTTACATGTGAGAATAAAAATTTATTTCATTGCCACCTTACCTCAAAATACAGATTTGCTTAAATGGTTACATTGTAAAGAACACACGTGAACAAACTTTGTACAACTTTTAAATCCACGGCAACTATCTATCCTCATAGCCCTGTAAATTGGTGTGTGTGCGGCCAGCCTGCCTCTGGATGTGTACCACACTCTGTCAATGTGTCATGGCCTCGCATGTTGCACACATTCAATACATGCAAAGCAGCAATGTTGAAACTGTTTGAGTGTATGACTATACATGTAACAGATACAGTACATTCCTATTACATAAACAGAAATCAATACAGATGCACACACATTTTAAAGCACTGCAAGTTCATCATATCTAAAACAATAGGGGTTTTATAGTTCAGAGAAGCCACAGTACAAGAGTTGTCTGCTGCATAGTTAAAAGCTTATATTAACATTCCTGCTCACAGGATGGTAAAGTGCTCACAAAATTATGTCAAGATAAAGGCAACAGCAGAACTAAACATCGACCTTTGACCACCATTCCTCATTGGGAAGTGGGCTCATCCTGTTGACACAGAAAAGTATTCCATCTTTAGTGACCATAACATTATCAAAACTGGAATCTTGAGCTTGTTGGTAGTTTAGTCCATGCTGTAGATTCCACTGAATGATGGCTGAACTGTGAGAAATTCAAGCCAACATGTACTTACTGACAAAAGAAGATGTTGATCACTGCTGCCTCACTACTGTTTTGTCTATCTTGAGTTAAAATGCAGTTCTCTTTTACGGCAGGTTATTGCACTTCATGTTCAATCAAAGACAGGTCTGCTTCTCTCTTCAGCCCCTAGACCCTGATTTTGCATGCACACACCATAAAATGCCACCTGCTCAGTTAGATCAAAACTTAATTCAACAAGTTCAGGGAGGATATGACGACACAACATAAAATCAAACTGTCCGCATCAATTACACGCAAAAGCCTTCTCTTAAAGAGAACGTCCTTAAATCACCACTGAAGAAACAGACATGCGTGAACTCACAGGTTGCTGCAAACACTCAAATACACACAGTGATTTAGCCAGTCTCTCAACTGTCTGTACATGTCACAGGTATGTCATCTCTCTCTGACAACCCACCCACACACACACACACACACTTTGCAAATTTTAATTCGGAGCCCTGTGAAGTGCAGCCTTTTAAAAACCAAGCCACAGTCTGAGCCACTGGCCTTCAGCTCGTCTGTAAACTTGTTTCAGTGCAAGATTTGGCTAAATGTGACGACACAAACAAAAAAACAGCAGAATACAAACACGCTGCTCTCTGAAAGCACAGTGGAGGTTTAGATGGGCTTGTAAAGCAGAGATGTGACGTATTTCTTCTTGTATCTGTGAGTCGCACTCAGCACCATCACTCCATCCTAAGTAACAAGCAATAAACAGAAATGCTTACATCTGTGAAATGCATCCACTCAGTATGACCGAGAATTAAATGATGGTTTTAAATAATCACAGAAATATGTATTTCCTTAGCACTAAAAGAGTCTTCCTGTATTATTAGCATATTTAGCACGAATGTGTTTGCTTTAAGAATATGTGAAGTTACGCTAGCTGGCAGTTGTGGCAGCTGTGTGTGTGCTGAAGAAATATCCGGTTTGTCCACAGCCCTGGCTCTGTAAATGGGAAAAAAAACAAAGTGGCCTGCACCCCACCACACAACAATATTCCAGCTGTTCCAGCCATGATTTTGTGTCATGTAACGCTAAATGACTTGCCCACGGACATTCAGCTTATTTTTCAGTTGGCCAAGACATACTGTTTTATTGTGATGTTAGCTTTAGTAGCAAGAGAACTGAGAGTATCACTGTTTAGAGCTGGTGTGCTAGCTCTGAGGCAGTCTTAGCCTCTCTGAATGTTAGCTTTGCAGCAACAACTGTAACACGTGCAGCAGCTAACCCACAAATTAGCTAACCTTAGTTATATTACTTGCTGTGTCATTGTTCAGTGTATATACACTGACATTTGTCAAGGTGGTGGAATTCTCCAGAATCGCTTACTCCACCTTTAAAAGGTTTGTTGTAGTAGTACATATTTGCTGTGTAAATTTTTTAAAGCACTTGTTCACTTCTGCTGGAAGAAATAACAAAAAGGAAATAATTTAAATGTTGGGAAAGTATATGCACATTTACTCCATGTTGAGAAAAGAAATCTGAGATAAATTAAGCCTTGATAGCAGAGCTTGGGAGGTAATAGCAATTATGTTATGTTAGTTTTCATAGCCCAGCCCGATTCAGTAGTTCAGTGTTGAGGGAGATTCAAACTCCTTCAAAGTTAAAAGAGTTGCCACATGATATTTCATATGGTGCTAGTCACAAGTGGGGAGACGTATTTCAATGGTTTCCACTGAACCTACCTTTATCGAAAGAGCGTAAAGGTGGTTTAGCATGACATGGTTGGGTTCAGGCAGCAGGGCAGGGTCACACTGTGAACAAAGAGTAAGAGGAAAACTTACAAACCAGAGACACAGCAAAGGAAAATATAGCATTCATACTGACATAGAGGTGCGGCAGGAAAGGTGGAGACACTGACTGATATATTGGTGTCCTTGTTGAGAATAACTTGAAGGAGGTGAGGGGGGAGTATAGGTGGGGCTTTGAAATGCTCCTCAGGTCTGAAGATGTACTGCTCCTGCCCATATGGACCTGTAGGGGAGCTGGAAAGATCTGCAAACAGGCAACAATCATGATTACACTACTGACAGGAAGTCAAGGCTTCCTGGAAAAAAATTCCTATTAGTAAAATACCTTTGTTTAACTTTTATTAATGGTTTACTGTATATGAGTTGATAACTACTGGCCAATCTGTAACTGAATCAACCATAAAAAGATGACTGCTTGCGTATTATATGTATATATCTGGACGAAACCACAAGAATTTTGCACAGTTTCTGCCCAGAAATTATTCAAATAAACTTTCCATTTCCACACTATCCTTGTCTGTCTGTTAGATACACTGTGGCTGTCAGGGCTCTGTCATGCAAATCATGGTATAGTATTGTTAACTGTTTATTTGGGTGGCTAAATAAAATAACAGTATAAACAGACCTGATGTGTCTGAGCACTCCAGAGAGTCAACCTGCAGGGCGTCAAACACCTCAAAGTCTGACTTCTTCACCTGGATCAAGTTGTTGATTGTGCCAAGCTGGCTGGTTACAACTGGCTGCAAAAGAGACCAATACCAAAAGGTAATGATCAAGCATTTTTATAATTATTATTTACAACCCTCCACATTGCCCTGGCTTTTAGCTTTGATGGCAATGCTGTGAGTGTAGTTAGATTTACGCAGCCCCTCCCGATACAAAATTATCGGGAGGGGCTGAGGGAAGACTTTCAAACAGCATATAGCAAAGTCTGTATGGTCATTCTGTTGTTTTGGTGACGAAACTCCATGCCAATAAAGAGCCACAGTCCCTCACCTTATAGTGGACCACCATGGGACCTTATTCAGGAAAAAATATCTACGGTAGTCAATGGCTCCCGTCTTGTACCCCGAATTACACATATGTTTGTCAATTTAAAATTTAAATATTGCAAGTCAAGAAGTCTCAGTTTGTCGTAAAACTGTGTAAGTATAAAACTGAAAATACGGAATTACAAAGACACAAACCCAAAAGTGACATCATAACTTCTTCTCTCAGTGACTGAAGCTAATGTTACTGAAATTAACATCAAAAAACTTCCATGTGTAAATGATGTGATGAAAGGACCATGTGTCGTTGGATTAAACACATCAGGTGAGAGACATTTGTGCGTGGAACATCGCTAAACTACCTAGCTAGCAGCAACCAAGCAATGAACATTAGCATTACAGCATTAACATGTTGGTGAAGTACATAGTGCAAGACCAGAGATGTAGTTCATTGAGCTGTTTTCACACAAAACTAAATTTTTCTTTACTGTTTTATGACAAACTACAACTTTCTTGACGTATAATAATTATCTTTTAAATTGAGAAACATTATGTGTGTAATTCAGGGCACAACTGAAACGGGATAAAAAAAATAGCTGTCTCTCGTCGTTGACTACCATACATATTCTTCCCCAAATAAGGTCCCATAGGGCGGAAGCAAGGGACTTAGGCCCTCTTAAGCAACACTGAAAATATCAGTCAGCATGTTGGGGTTGGGAATGAATGTGTCTTAATTTCCTTGGCGGTTCCTGTCCTTTCGTGTTTATAGCATCACAGATCTTTCTAACAAAGTCTGGAACTGAACGGTTTGAGATTTATGTGCAAAAGAACATAAACACAAAATTTAAAGTTGTTTTTTTCTAAATTTCAAACTTTATGAACAGGTAAATTGGTAACATGAAAATGACAATAAAATAAAAATGACAGTGGTGTACCTCTGAGGGATCGTGGACCCACTGTCCATCAACAAAAAACTTGTACTGGTGCTCTCCTTCTGGTAGGTCCAGGATCGCTACAAAGTCATTATGGCTTTAGAGAAAGGAAAAGAAAGAGCATTATTAACACAATATTGTGCTGTCCTGTCAGTTAAACTCTACAACTGTCTCACACGGTTGTAGAGATAATTTGCATGGCATCCCTATGAGGCCGTGAGAGTTGCGAGTGCAGTGACAACAACAAAATAAATGTGTTTACCTCTTATTTAGTGGTATCTTTGTGTTCCAGTTATTAAAAGAACCAGCTATGTAGACCTCCTTTCCCCCTCCGGCCCAGCGGATGACCGTGGGCCGAGCCTGAGGAGTAGTTTTCACCAGGTCATCCAGGTCTGGGGTGAATTCTTTCTCTCCTAATGTCTAAAAGCAATTAATTGATCTATTAACTACAAGCTGATTTTTTTTTAATCTAACAAATGGCATAGACATTTGACAGCTATTCCTGCAGGACAAACAAGGTTTTGTACAACAATCTGTGTTTTCCAACAGTACCTTGGAATCTGGCCCATGGGTGTTGAAGATGTTGGGATCATCTGTGCTGTCCACCATCTTACAGCTGGGTTCTTGGTCTTTGTGACTGCCGCTGCTGTCTGAGCGGTGGGCCTTGGCTCCATGGCGATCTCCAGCCACCCTGTCACTTGTGTTGCCCATAATTCCTCACTACGTATGGCGCTACTAGAAAGAAAAGACTGCTAACTTATGATTGGGCACAAACTATAAGTTTAACATATCGATTATCATGGATGGCCAAAGCTAAGACCCAGTTTACAATATTATTATTACATTGTAATGATAACACATGACAGGCACAAAATGGGAGTAGCCACAACCTACTGTGACAGACGAAAATGATAAGCGGGACAATTTGACAATAAACACCATCGTCACACATTTTCCAGATATACCCACAAAAAACACAGATGCTTCAGTGCACAAAGGCTCAAAGAATGGTTTTGTGAATATGAAAATCATGTGACTAAAATGCTACGGCCTTCACTGTCACCACGTCTCAACCCGGTTTCACAACTATTCAATTAAATTTTTCTATTTTATTTATATTTATTGCATTGCACTTTCCATAGAGCAAGTATAGACCCTACACATTGTACTATCATCTGCAATTCCCACCATTAGCAAGCACTTGGCGACATGGGCAAGGGAAAACTCCCTTATGGACCTACAGAAGATTTTGGATCAATGTGTAAGACAATGCTCTCCCTCACCAAAACAAATCTCTCATTATATATATATATATTTATTTTTTATTTTTTATTTTTTTTTATTAGATAGGTATATAGATAGAAATAATAATAAATCTGTATAAAATAATAATATAAAGTAAAATTTTAATATAAAATAATCTGAGTGATGAATGCAACATGTCCTTTTGTTTGTCAGGACTATCCTGCAACAGAGATCTTGAACTCAATGATATAACTTAAATTAAATAAAGGTTGTATATATAAATGAGGAATATCTTGTGGAGAAAGGAAAGGTGATCATCACTGAAGCTCTTCTGGAGGCTCGTGGTGGCCACTGACTCCATAATTAGACACTTAATGTTGGTTTTTCCTTTCATCAGTCACCATATTAAATGTACATAACGAGCAGCAGTCTGGTTTTCAGACGAAACGGCTGACGGGGACACCTGTCAGGCTAAAAGGCTTATCGATAGACTAGACAGCCTCAGATGCAAGTAACTGGCAGTACTGTGAACCACAACAGATCAGACTTAAAACAACCGCTTAACGTTAATACAATCATCCGGTCAGATCAACACAGTCCGCTAACGCCCAAACGTTAGCCCCTAAAAAAGAAGTAAGTTGTAACTTCCAATATAGCTAACGTTACCTAATAGAAACAAGTAACGTTATGCCATTTATTAAAAGTAGTGAGTATTTATATCTTGCTAGCTGTAACCTAACATTTACCAAAGTCTCGGCGCTGCAGTTCAGCTGTGCTCACTGTCCACCTCAGATCATTTCGGCAGAATATTTTTAGCTTCTGCTTACAGTTAGCTAGCTAGCTGTCACTTTCTAACAATTAGCAAGCCGTTTGCCTTATTTAGGACGTCACTTTCGATTTCGACTCGAGGAAAACTTCACCATGTAGTAACAGAATGACACAGAAAAGGAACTCACCGATAACTTAATGTTGTTATGTAGTTTGTTTTCCGCTGAGGGCTCACCTTTCTCCAACAGCAGCGCGGTGGTGCCCCAACTACGGTATGCGGCAAGGACAAACTTTATGGGACAATTTCAAGCAGCAAAGAACACTTGTGTTCTTGACTTTGGGGTATCATGTGGTACCCTGTATTGATATGCTGATGGTCTCTTGGTCTATCTAAACTTTTTGTTATTAATATATATGGTCTTGGTATCCATAATCAATAAGCAAATTATTAATTGACAGATTAATGGTCTATGATGGGTTAATATTTGCAAGCAACGTCTGAAGCCCTGCTTAAGGAACACCGATTGTTAGACATCCGTGGACTGGCCTTAACATCCTTCTTCTTGGAGAATACTGAACCTCCGTAGTAAGTAGTATGATACTGCACATTCTTTACCAGCCATATCAGTTAGCCCAGAGAGGGTTGTTATACAGCCTTTTTGTTTTGGTTTTATGTCTGCATTCTGTTCAGACAGAACAAGAATCATTTCCAAGATCATAAAAAATAAACCACGTGTGTGTTCCTCTTAATCTTGAGGAGAGTGCTTATTATTTTATCTTTAAAGAATATTCAAATATTTCTAGACCCCTCTGTATTATCAATAAAGCTAATTTAACTAATTGTGAGAACTTGAGATTGACATGATGAAGCTGATAGAATATTATTCTCGGTGTTAGTTCTTATACTGGGGCTGTTTTGTGCTTTGTCACAGCAGTTTCTCTGTCGTCTTACTGCTGTCCCTTTAACTAACCAACTTTCTCCTTTTTGTCAGGCCAGCTAGGATCTGTTTTGTTGACCTAGATTATAGAAGTGAATTAATAAATCTAATACCCCCAAACTGATATGATTAAGGAACACTTCTTAAATACTACTATGATCTCATTAACTTGTATTCTACCGACACACACCAATACATCAAGTTCCAGTTTCGCATGGAAACGTGTCCCATGTTATGTCTTTATTAACCACTAGGTGGTGCTGTTAGCACATCTCAGTGATCTTCAAACTACTGATCCCCACTCCGAATAGCTGGACTTTGCACCACCAAACCATTGTTCTGAAGTGAGCCTTCCAGGAACGACCATGTTAATATTCTATATGAAGTTTCCACGTGTTCATGTTCAGTGGCCATTAGTTTCTTAACATCCACATTAATGTAACTTATTATAAAGACAAAGGCGTAGTGTCATCTTACATGGTAGACAAAGATTTCCCACAACTGGGCTATATGGAAAACCAAGAAACAAAAGGGTAAATGTCACACTATTCAGTTGTGGGTGTGTATTTCTGTTTGGGTGGAGGTCATTTAGTCTGTTGAAATGAGAAGTAACACAACAAAAAAAAACACGCTACTTGCAAGAATCACTGAATCAATGACCAGTTATTACTGTTGTCTTACAAATGTTACCATGTAAGGTGGTAGTAACCATCATTGAAACCCATATATCATCAAAACACACACACACACACACACATATATATATGGGCTATAGTTCCCATCGAGTAGCTGTAAGGCACATATAGATGATAATCAAATAACACAATGGTGACACAATTAGTGGTTAGTTTTCACATTGCACAAGATGCATGTTATGTGTACACAGTATTCCAGTGTTAACAAGATATTGATTTTTCGGGGGCCAGTTATTTTTAGTTAACAGCTGCTGACTGGAGCTGATGTCACTCTACAGCAGGTTACAACTTAGAAGTGTGTTAAATTACCTCTAAAGGGTGTGGGCTTAAACATTTAAACCGGCATAGTGTCATTTTTCCTCATTCGAATATGAAATAAGACAAAGAACACTGCTGTGTGTCTTTTTTGGATAAGCTCCACCTGTATTTAGACAACATATGTCTTTTGTTACCAAAAAGCACAACAGTGTTTCCCATTGAGCTACCGCTTTGCTTTGATCACAGTTTTAAAAGACTAACCATAGGATCAACAGAACAACCTACTATGTATTATATATTCTAATATGTCTGTGTTATGTACAGTAATATCTTTGTGTCAAATATTGTTTTTGACCGTTTTTGGGAGTGTGTTATGTGTAACAGCAGGATAAAACTTGAAGCATGCTCACAATAAATGATAAATACTTTAGCTAATGACAGACAACCCTTAGCGGGATACATACCATTTCCATCAACTGAACTCCTGTGCCAGCTGGTGGAAGTCATGCTCTGTATGTTTGATGTCTGTCTGTTTTCTTGGAGTTATTTCAGGCATTTTCAAGTTTGACAAACACAGTAAATGTTCTTTTTTTTCCATTTGCTTGCAGCATCATTTGGAGATTCCTAAGCCAGTCTTCATGTACTCATAAACCACATAGCTAATGCTGACAGCAGGAATGACTTTCATGAAGTTTGGCAGGATGCCCCGGTAGAGTCCGAAAAAGCCATCTTTGGCTACGATTGTCTTCATCAGACTACTCATGGAGGACCGGTCTGACGCATCCAGAGACGCTAGAGAGAAAAGGTCTGTTAGAGAGGCAAGGTTGAAACTGAAAGCAAGCTTTTTATTCTTGTTTTGTATGGCAGCTATACTGGGTTATACTGCGCATACAGTATAAGAGGTAACTACTGAAAACAGTATTTCAATACCCAGAATTACCTTTTTTAAATTTCAAATTATGGTTTTATTATCCAGATTCCTCTGGATACAGATTGTTCATTTGTTATAGAGACAGTAACTGTATTTATGTAATTTTGATTAGTCAGTTTGTACATACATTTTGCTTTCCATACCTTACACCAGATGGCACCTTAAATCTCAATTTCATATAAAATATATAATTAAAGTGAGACAGGGATGCCCTTCTCCACTGTAGCACACATACATTATGTTTCCTCTAACTCAAGTGTATTTTACAGAGAAAGTTGGGTACCTTTACAGAGCGTATCATGAAAAATACTATGCACTATATGAATACATGCCATGTAAATTTTGTCATCACTGTTAATCAAATGTTAGACTGAGTTTACCTTGTGCCTGCATCCGTGTGCGTACAAGTGCGAGTGGATAGCTGGCCAGCTGGCCGCAGGTACTGGAGATGGTCCCGCAGCCCACCAACACCAGAACTCCAGGGTTAGCTGAGTCTTTGGCGTGGTATGACAACCAGGCGTTCTTTAGACTCTGACATATGGGAGAAAGGTGACAAAGGACTTAATTTCTCTAATTAAATGTGATGTAGCTCTGCAATCCAGCATAAACTGGTTTATCGCGCATGCATATGACTTAATTTGATTAAGTATACTCTGCAGTGAAATATCACTAGAGGGTCAGAGTACTTCACATACCTCATAAACAGCGAGGTCTATCCCAGCGTAGGGAATGATGCCCACTAAGTTTGGAATGTAGCCCTTGTAGAAAGCCATGACGCCCTCGTTCCTCAGGATCTTTTTGGCACAATCAAACATTCCTGAATACTGACCAGTTTTCCTGAGGGTCAGTCTAGTTTTCAGTACCTTAAAGAGAGAACAAAAACGTTCAAAATCTGACTTTCATCTAACAGCTGGAGAGAGACAGGAAAGGCAGGGGTGAGTAAGACGGCATGACATGCAGCAACGGGCCCGTGCTCGAATCAAACCTGGGCCACTGCAGTGAGGACTCAGCCTTGATGCATGGTGCACGCTCTACCAGTCCCTGACTGCATTTTATGTGAATACATCCCATGAGTGAGACGGTGTGAACAAACAGTGGTGCAACAGTTGTCTTACCTCCATTGGGTAGATGGCTGTCTGTGCTGTGGCCCCAGCCAGAGAGCCAGCCATAAACCTCTTGTGCGTCTCAATCATCTTGCCCTCTGATGATAACAACCTCTTATACTGCAGAAAACATACAAATGGCAAGAAAATAAATAATAAGTATTCCAAATATTTGTAATGTTATAAATCTGTGAGAAATTCCTTCATATATATATATATATGAAATGTGCATTTTACATTTTAGAGTTTACTTACTTGTTCATATGACATGAATTTGATTGCAGTCTCAGGTGCGATCTTTAAAACATTGATCCCATTTCCCCTCCACAGTGAAGTTAGACCTCCCTCTGAGATCATCTGCTTGAAGCCGCCTACCAGGCTTATCCGGTTGGTCTTAGAAGAATGAACCTGCAGTACAAATATATAAGTTTTGCAGGACTGTTTTGAACACATCCATTTCTTAATCTATCCTCCAAGGGAAAGAATATATTAATCCAAATTCTTTTAAATATTTCACCTGCATGAAGACTTTAATTCTGTCCAAGGGGGCGGTACCAGTGCGAGAGATGGCCCCTGCCACTGCACCTGCACTAAGGTGCTTCCACCAGCCTCCTGAGCTCTTCTCCTCCTCTGTGAATTCATCTGGGATGGCAAGACTTTCACCTATGTCCAGCACCTAGTGATTACATGAAACACATTTACTCAAATCACTTTAATTTATGGACAGACACTGGTCAAATTGGAGACATGTCTGTCAGCATAATTGTTCTTGCAAGCGTTATAAACATACACTCAGTGGTGTTTCAGTTTATGGCTATGATACATACTGTCTTATCTTACACTTATTTTGCCTTTGAAACTGTATTTCTCTCAGGAAGCTACGTGTCTCAAGCACTTCTCCTTTTGAGGTTTATTTTTATTTCTATTTTTTGCAGTGATGCGGCAACCACGTTTTTTCAATCTTGCCAAATTACCAGTTGTACACTGAGGGCGAGAGGGCAAACATTTACAAAACCTTGAAAATAAGGTTTCAGCCAGGAAGTAAACACATTAGAAGCATAACATGCTCCTTTTTCTTGCTCCTCATGCTCCTTTTATATTTGGTCAAACTTGTGCAAAGAAAAGGCCACACTAAGAGGAAAAGGTTAAAAACTACAGGAGTTGTTCATTGAGCTCCTTATCCTTTAGTTAGAACTGCTTGTGAGACCATAATCACTGAGCAGTGACTTTCTCCTCTTGCACACTTTAGCTAGCTCTGATAAACACGTCCAGTGTTTCTACAAAAGCATAAAGGCACCTGTGAAAAACATGGCACGGTGGCAATTTAATGCAACTCTGCAGGGAAACACAAAGGCTGAGTGTGTCCTGCGGTCACTGCTATTTACACATTTATGGTATGAGAATGTAGTTAAAGCATAAATGTGCACTGAAGATTTAGATACATTTAGATACAAAAGAGAGGCAGTGTTTTGCTCATGATGGAGAAAAACATCTAGTGCAGTTTAAGTATCACACCAGTCAAACAAATCTTTTTGCACTGAGACGAGGTGGAGGAGCAACTGAGGGAAACACATTGTAGTGCTGTGACCTAATTATGTTGGGACTTTCAAAGCTGCTGCCAAAATGTGGACTGCAGAGAAAATCCATAATATCTAACACAAGAGGACTAGTTGACATGCCATGTACCCAGCTGCCGTTGCATCTGCATTTGTCTACCGAATGTATTTGGGGGTGTTGTGTGTATATGTTCCATACCGAGGAGTGTTTCCAGTAGCGTATGATCTCTTTCAGGTTCTGAGCAGGGTTTAACAGGAAGTGTTCTCTCCACTCGTTCCAGTCCACCGTCATTGTCCCATCATGGTCCATACTAAGTAAATGCAGAGAAACCTCTTTACCTATGAACTAATGAGTATGTTGCTTTTTATGTACATATTGCTAAGCATATCAAGCTTTCAAATAACACACTCCTGCTGTCAGCATTATGTGGTTCACACATTTTTGGGCACATTGTAAATAGGAACTTGTTACAGTGGCTAGAAGTGGAGGTCAAACCTCTGTAGTATTTTCAGGGCATCCTCTCTGCTGACATCCATGCCCAGCTCTGAAAGAGACTGCTGGATCTCTGAAGCATCAATGCAACCTGCCACAAAATAAGAAATTCTACTCAACCACACTGCAGAACATGTGCTTCTGTAAACATTCACTGGCATGCATCATCATGTGTCAACAGCTCGTGCCGAGAATTTTTTTTTTAAGTGAGGCAGCTCATTAAACACGCTTCCTTTATCTCCTACCATCGTTGTTTCTGTCCAGACTCTTGAATGTCAGCCGCAACTTCTTCTCGTGCTCTTTCAGGTATTTGGAAAACTCGTTGAAGTCGAGGCTCCCGTCTTTGTTTTTGTCACCAGAAAACACAATTTTCTGCAGAGATAAAAACAAATCTAGTGGTGCATTAGCCTTCTCTAGTAGGATAGTGTCAGGGTGAGTCACGTGCACAACCAGCCACACAGTCAAACCGCTAACGAAATTATATACAAAACGAGCATGCCACGACTTGAAACTCCTGTCTATACAGGATCCCCATGGCCCCTGAGGTTTTACCTGTGCATCACCCTGGTGGAATATGCCCATTGCCTTAAGGCCCGCTCGTAATTCAGCAACATCCACCTTTCCATCTTTATTGGTATCAATCCTATCGAACAGGTCCTGGTATGACCTCCTACTGTCGGCATCCCAGCACTGGGCATTTGATAGTAAAAGCTCCCTTAACGTCTGATCCATTGTAGCGATGTAATGTGGAAGCAGCGCCCAGGCGAGGCTTCCTGCAGTCAGGATCTGATTATGAATCCATGTTGAAGATCATTTATAAACCCTGCTAAAATCCAGTTACGAGACTGTCGTTCGCGATTAAAAAAGGGGTGTCCAGTGACTTTATTTTGCAGACTGTCCCATGCTAAGGTGGACGTCGTAGCCTAGCGTTTCAGGGAGAACTGCTGCAGTAATCGAGGGCGGAGCTACGTTGCTACTAGATGTTTTCTACGGAAAAGCAGGAAACATGGTAAAATAGAAAAGTGGTGAAAATAAATCAGCCTAGATTAACCATGTGCATAATCCGGCTTATGCTTCTAATAGTGGACTCCCCCATCTGTTTTTATTCCTGTTCCGTGCGATTTGTGATGGCGCATTATAGATGAAATACAAGTTCTTTCCCCGCAGTTCTTCAATTTATTGCCGTCGTTTGATAACGTGAGAACCCCGGTCAAACCAGCCGCCGCTAGGTTTTTGATGCGCGTCTATGTATGATATTACGGTACGGGTACTTGATGCGGCCAAAAAGGCCAAAAGCAGGTGATTCTCACATTTGATATACCAAGGACAAATTACATTATATTACACATCATATATCAAAAGTTGAAGTAGTTTTAACTTTAAAGTTTTTGAAAGTGTGTTACATTGTAACATAGGCTATTCATAGTTTCTTCATATTAAAACTTAAAACTTACTAACGTCCCCATTATTAAGATTTTTTGCTGAAACTTTCAATGGAATCCTGTTCAGGATTAGGGATAGCAGTCAACGGATATTACCATTGTTTGATTTTGGTTTGCTGGAAAAACATTAACAAAATAATTCGACTCAAACATTTGAGTTCAGAAGAACTCTGACCATGTATACACTAAAAATGAAGCATTACATACTGTATCACTTTAGAAAAAGTAAAAGTCCCACATTTTTTGTCATGAAATGGCTTCCTTGTGAAATTTGAGATGCTGTTAAAATAAAACAAATCAATATACAAATTGCTCCATGACGTTCAAGACACTTGACACTACTTTTACTGTGTAGTTTTTCTAGTAATGTCAAAGTCACTTGATATGCTACGCAGCTGTGCTCTGCTCCCTTCTCCCTTTTCTTACCTTCACTCTACTCCTTTACTATTCTCTGCTCCCAGGAGTAACAATAATAACTCAAAATTCGCTCTTTTTTTTCTGCTAATCAGCCAAAAAAACTTTACTGTTTTCAATCATCACTGTCTGTGATGCTGAAGTAGCAGTCAGATATGTTGGTGATGGAGCATGTTGAGGACAGAACATGTTTTAGTTTATCACAACTAAATGCATTTTTGGACAACAAATTGTTGACAAATTATAAATGGGGGGAAAATGTTTTTGTTGAAATCCACAAACTAAATCGGAGTGGAGAGTTGTTGCAGAGTGGTGCACAGAGAACCGCTCAACATCAATCTAAGGAGCAGATCGGTGATTTTAGGAAAAAGGAGATAAAGACACACACTCCTGTCTAAATCAGTCTAGCTGAAGTGGAGCAGGTGCACAGTTTTAGGTTTCTGGAAATTAGCATTGACATGATCATCTCACATCTCCATGCTGGTGTACTTAAGAAGGCAAAATTCCCATGCCAAGTTCTTGTTAACTTTTACAGAGGACCCATTTACCGAGCATCAGTGATATCGTTGATGTGAGGTGCATGCACAGAGTCCAAAAGACACCCCACCCCTGTTCACCCTGCTGCCGTCTGGCAAGAGATACAGAAGTATCTGATATCACACCACCAGACTACAGAGCAGCTTCTTCCCCCAGGCTGCGAGACTTTTAAATTCATTCTCAGCACTGCACCATGCATGTTTTTTTTTCCTGTATATAATTTGAAAACTTTGAAGATAACGTTCCTTTTGTGAGTACCATAAATTTACCTTGTACCTTGTTTGAGCTTATCAGGCTCCACTGACTTGCAGTTGAGCTAGATGTAAATTCCAGTATAACAAAAACTCAGGAGCAGCTCTCTTTTTTTTATATCATGTGGTGTCACAATGACACAGCTGTCTGATAAGCCACGTGTCCCATTTTACAGTCAAACAACGTATATGTTAAGTTCAGAAATATGTAAAAAGTTGTATTTGAGTTGGTAGGCCAACAATTTGACCCAACTTAAGGCTTGGTCCAAAAGTGTCATTGAGGATTGTAGGTGTATTGTGTGACATATCCATTTCAGTCCGTCATTCACAATGTAAGCAGGATAGCTGTACCTTTTGATATGGGTGAAAATTTAGTACACTTAATATATATTGTGCCCATAGCTTTTCTGTGGTGCTACAATGATTGCTGAAGGTAAATTAATGCTGCGTGACCCTATGAGACAAGAAGGGGGCGATGATGTAGCACTGGTGGCTGTGTGTGTGTGTCTAGTCAACAGCTGAACACAGAAAAGAGAACCAGCATGTTTGACGAGGCAGACCAAGACTGTTTTTAACAGCTGCTTTCAAATCTTTTACTTCTAAATGTAATTATTCATCAGAAAACAAAAAGGACATGGCAATAAGGAGAGCCTAGTCATTCTCTGCTTGTAGAAAGAGAGGGAGCCACAATTAAAACACCACATCAAAGCATTCTGGATGAACAAGCCCGTGACAAATGTTTTAATTATTTATTTAAGTGATATCAGGGGTTATTTTGTATTTTTCTGACCTTTTTTTTTTGTTATTTGTAATCTTTAGGACATGCAGTCTACTTTCTTTTCATAAAGTTAGTAAGGAAATGCCCTCAGCAGTAAAAGATGGTCACTGTATTTCTACTCTGTTCCAACCCATCATGGTGTCTGTTTTCCTTATAGAGCGCTCAGTCTTTCTTCTTTGTATTCTACCATGTCGGACCTTGCCTTGGATGAAACATTTCAAGAGTACAGGTCAATCGTACAGCGGCCAGAAGGTCTTACAGTGTAGCTGGTCCAAACTCTAGATAAGATAAATGGTTTAACCTCCAGACCAGCAGGAACTCTTAGTTGAGAAAGTTAATGAATTACAATCTTCCACCCTCAACAGGTAGAAATGAAGTGTCCTTCAGCAAGGCGTAGAACCAATAACTGTGTGTGTGTGTGTGTGTGTGTGGGGGGGGGGGGGGGGGGGGGGGGGGGTATTGTTGCCAGGGTATATTTTTTACACAGCACATGCCTATTTCCCTATTTCACTCCTGCAATCACACCTTGGAGATGCCCCATACAACTGCATCTTTTCTGTTGGCTTAGCTGGAGTAATTTGGAGAATATGCCTTGCTCAAGGGCACTAAAAACGCTGTGAGTTGTAGTGCTCAATATAAATGGTAGCCCAGTTGCTCTTGGTATTGGCAACTAAATTTGGGCAATTAAAAACCATTATGTGGCTTCTGGTTGTCCCCCATGGCAGCTACATTTTTCCTACATTTTCTTATATACATATCACTCTATCATAACACATGATTCTGAATTATGTGAAGGATAGTCATGTGAAGGATGCTGTGGAAAAATACGGAGTAACTTTTAGGGTCAGGATGGACCATGGGGGAGAAAACAATGAGGTATGTTCGTTAACAGATCTTTTCTGAGACTCACAAAGAGTCAGTGCTTTCCGAGGAGGGAGCACACACAACCAGCACGTTGAGAGACTATGGGGAGACCTGTGGCGTGGTTATGATCTCTTAAATTTCCTAAAGAGTGAGGGTGTTCTGGACACACAACAACGTGCACATCTTGGCACTGCATTATGTATACTTGCCCAGAATAAATAGAGACTTGGCAGGAAGTCTTTGGTGCCAGGCTCTCTGGAGTTGAAAGTGCACACAGCACTGCACCAACAGGAGGAACAGGAGGATCCCAAGCCTCTGTAGCAGTACAAGACAATGCTGCTGGGACAGGAAGCTGGTTTTGCAGCTGAAGAAGCACCTGAAATAGAGCAATTAGAGAGAATACCTCATTATTAATTCACTTTGGACCGTGTTCAACACATTTATCCTCTCAGATCCTCTAGAACCAGTTTAGCAGTTGATATCCTCCAAGATATTCTGAATTCTTTTAGAGTCATTAAATCCAGCATAAATTTACAGCTCTGGGGCTGGGCCACTGGGCATTAGCGCCATCCTTCCCTTCACATCCCATCTTGTCATTGTTATTTTGGTTATAGTAGTTCCTTTTTACAAATCTATATAAAATGGCTAGTTGTTGTAGGACAGGTTGTTCACATCTGCCTCATTTTGCTATTCACACAGATGCTGATATGTTTGTGTGTGTATATGGGGGGAGGTATGTAACACTGGCCTCCACCAGGCCCTGTATCAGGTGGAGGTCAAATGCATGGACTAGTTTTCATAATTGGTTATCATCTGCCTAACAATTAACTTTTTTATGGAGTGGTTCCTAATAATATTGCGTAAAGGAAGCATATATAAGGTGAGTAGGATTGGTCCAAGCACAAAACCTTGTGGAACTCCAAGACTAACTTTAACCTACATGAAGGATTCCTCATTAGCATATACAAACTGAGACTGATCTGATAAATAGGACTTATAACAGCTTACAGCGGTTATTTTCATGCAAATTAAATGTTCATGTCTCTGTATTAGGATGTTATGGTCAATGGTGTCGAATGCAGCACTAAGATCTAACTGGACAAGTACAAAGGCAAGATCTTTGTCTGACGCAATTAGTTATAGTAGTTATTTTCACCAGTGCCGTCTCTATGGTATATGATGCACTCTAAATCCTGACTGAAAACCCTCAAATAAACTATTGTTATGTAGAAAGTCACACATCTGATTGGCAACTACTCTCTCAAAGATCTTGGAGAAAATGGGGAGCTTAGATGTAGGTCTATAATTGGCTAAAACCCCTGGATCAAGAGCGGTCTTTTTAAGAAGAGGTTTAATTACAGCCACATTAAGGGATTATGGTACATATTCTGCTAGTAAAGACTGATTGATCATGTGTAGTAAAGATGTGCTAACTGAGGATAAAACATTTTAGGCAGCCTAGTTGGGATGGGGTCTAAGAGACAGGTTGATGGCTTATATGAAGACATCAGTTAGTTGGTGAAGCTCAATGGGTAAAAAGCAGTCTAAATATATATCAGGTTTTACAGCTGTGTCTTAGGTTCCTGTGTTTGTTTAAAAAAAAAGAATGTTATCATTAAAGATGTGCATGAAGTCATTACTAGTGAGGGCTATAACATGGGTCAGTCAGCCTGGCTACAGTTCTGAAAAGAAAAAAAAGTTATTAATTAAAACAGACAGGTTTTCATCAAAGGTTAACAGCATTCTTAAGTAAATTAAGTTGTTAAATTATAAGTTTTGAACTATTGTCTATTGAACACAATGATTTCCAACAGCTTACAGTGCAAGAAAAACAAAACGAATTCAAAGAATTAATACTTTTTTGCCATTTTTATAGAGTAAATTGATTTAAAATTGATCTGCACACCATTA